AGGGTGGGCTCCTTCACAAGGGAGACAGTCCTCCACCAACTTCTCCAACATGAGTCCTTCCCACAGGTTGCAGTTCTTCACAAACTGCTCCAGCCTGGGACCCTTCCACAGGGTGCCATCCTTCAGGAACAGACTGCTCCAGCCTGGGCTCCTCCCTCCAGGGGGCCAGAGGTCCTGCCAGGAGCCTGCTCCCACGCAGCCCTCCCGTGGAGTCACAGCCTCCTTTGGGCATCCACCTGCTCCACCATTGAGCACCATGGGCTGCAGGGGGACAGCCCGCTTTACCATGCTGTTCACCACAGGCTGCAGGGGAATCTCTGCGCTGGTGCCTGGAGCCCCTCCCGCCCCTCCGGCTTCACTAGCCATGGTGTTTGCAGAGTTGTTTCTCTTACACATTCTTACTCCTCTCTTTCGGCTGCTATCACACAGCAACTTTTTCCCTTTCTTAACTCTGTTCTCCCTGAGGTGCTACCACCATCACTGATGGGCTTGGCCTTGGCCAGTAGTGGGTCTGTCTTGGAGCTGGCTGGTATTGGCTCTACCAGACACAGGGGAAGCTTCTAGCAGCTTCTCACAGAAGCCACCCCTGTAGCTCCCCCCGCTACCAAAACCCTGCCACACAAACCCAATACATGCATTCAAATTGAGAATTTTGCTTCTACGTTTATTAAAAAAGAAGCAGTGGAAAAATAACTAAGGTTCAAGCCTAAAAGCATGTTTTTCCACACAAAAATAAAGTACTGCACTTTTCTTTTAGCAAGTCATAGGCTTACCTTCTGTCACAAGCTGCTCCCCTTGAAATTCTTCATCAAATACAATATTTCTCAATAAGCTCTTTTCTGGGATTATGTGTTTTTCCACCTCAGGTTTATACATCATAGCTCTGTTAAAGAGATAAAGAAAAAAAGTCATTAAATTACACATAGTACTGGAAACAACATTTTTAAAAAGTTTGTAAGATTGGTAAGAATCCAGCATAAATTTATCTATCATTTTTTGAATACACCAAGCTCAAATCTGGAAGCAAATATTTTCATAATCTTAAAATGGTTAAAGAAATACCTGCTCTATTGCTGCATAGTAAAAAGAATCACTGAAATAATGGCTACCATACACTTGCCTTTCCAAGATAGTTGTTCTCGGCTGTCAGTCACACCTACCTAGATTTCTGATAAGTACATCAGGCAACTGAATGATTTTTCAATCACCACATGAAGCAAGAGAATGCTGTTTTGGTCACAAGTGAAAGCCTTTTGAGGGGAAAAATTGACTAATCAATGGCAGAGTGGCAGCAGGTGCCAGCCAACAGCAGGAACATGGAGCCAAGGAGCGTGACTGCCAAAGGACAGAAAAGACTGGGAGGCATAGGGATATACACAGTCCTGGAAAAAATGAGCAGCTACAGGTCAGTAAGAGGAAACCTGGCACTCAGAGAAGGTCAGAGCTGTGGAGGGGGAAAGAATACCTCAGCACTACTAAGTCTCAGGTGTAAGCTACTTACCAGGCTGCTGACTATGTATATTTTTGGAGTAAAGAACTTGAGCCAGAAGTTGGCAGACCAGGCAGATTACTCATTTCACATTCCTGCCCCTAAGTCCCAAATCATATACTCGTTCCAGTACACAATTAGAGAATGGGGTTTGTTTGACTGGCTGACAGTACTCAGTTGTTTCAAGAAATAAGCATCTCTCTCAGATTATCAAGGGAGACTTCAGAGAAGCTCCCATCAAGAAACAACCAACTAGACCACACTGTTCAAGAACCAAATGCCACACCTGCTGACTAATAAAATCAGCAACTAATAATTTCACTCATGTACCAATGTCCAGAGTCTGAATAAAAGTTTCCGAGACTACTTATATAGGTGCATCAAGCTTCTTAATGGGTTTTCTGTTGATCAGTAGATCAAAGCTTTTCCCTAAGCATCTCTGCCCTTTGAGAAGGATTCAATGATAGTGAGCATTGCCTCATAGTTCATACAAAATCACTAAAAAGCATCTTCTGAGATACCTGAGAAACAAACTGTCTATCAAGTAGGTCACAAATGCAGCTATTCTATGAGCTTTTTATTCAAAGTCATACAGTTAAATTCAGCTATGTTTAATACCTTACTTGGATAACAATACATACAATGATTACCATAAAGTTTCAGGCAGACACATTTAAAAGCAACAGTGAAATACTGCCATTCTGAAATTTTGCACTGAATGACGACCATCAGCACCTTAGTGCTCTGCCTAATCTTAACATTTTGCCTTATCACTATACACCACACACAGCACAAGTCAAAAGTGCCACTTACGTCATTAAAGGCAGAATATGCCATTTTTATGCATTTGAGTTATGCAAATTGAAAGGCAGAGTAATGTAGCTTCTATTTAAGCTCAGTAAGATATAATCTACAAATTTCCTCAGTGTATTACAATCGTATGTGGATGTTATTTCTCTCAAACACACATCTATTCAAACATTGTCTTTGTCAACAGAATTCAGCAAAGCAAGATGCGAATCTTGTTCAAAACTTAATACTACTGAATTTCAGTACTACTCCTCTCATAAGCCTTTTCTTTAAAAATTAAAGCTACATACATATGGAAAGAGAGATACCAAGACAGAACACAACTCTCTTCTGACACAAAAAAGCAAAAATTTTCCCCCAAACCCACCACACTCAAATACAAGAATGTAAAAAGAAAATAAAACCCTTAACTAGGATTGTGGCTACAGTATGTAAACAAAGCCACAAATAAACAAACCAAACACCCATCAAACAACCTATCAGATGTAAGACTTAAGAGATATCTCCGTATCATCGCTGTCTTTTGGTTTATTCTTGCTATTTTGAGAAGTATATTAAGACCATACTCATGGTAGCACGCACCTCTAATTTTAACTTTTTATTAAACATTTTCTCTGTTACAACAGTAAAGTACATCTTACCTACGATACTGCTGCCTAGAAACTTCATCTCCACAAAAAAAACATACTGTTGATACCAATGTGTTTGTTTTATGGAAGTTCTTTTCCTTTTCCATTGGATTCCATGTTATAGTAATCACCTGATAAAAAAACAGACAACATACTCAGAATAAAAATATCGTTGTTAGTACTAACATTTGGAATATGAGTCAACAAATTCTGCAATACAAGTGAAACAGTATTTTACACAAGTTAAATGAGATTTTAATAAAGAACTAGTCAGACACATTCTCATTGATCACATTTATTTTAATTTAAATTAATAAAATTTGATCAGAATCAGGTATTATACTTACTTCATGTGTTCCTTCTTTTAGTACAAACTTCTCTGGAGATACCATCATTACCTGAGGATCCATAACTGTTTTTGTCCGTAGGTTTGCAAAGCACAGTGCTTTAACATAGGCAGCCCGAGAACCTGTATTTCTTAAGCAGAAGGAAGCTTTCCTTAATCTTGCAGGCAGTAGTCCATCCAGTGTTACCATGTAACTATCTGACAGTTTTTTAACGTTGTCTAAAGTTATACTGCTTGTTCCTCCATATCCAGATAACGGTATCTTGGGGGGTGGAAGAAAGAAAAAAAAAAAAAACACACACACAAAAAACCCCACTACTTCAACTGAAAGAAAGCTTCTTCCTAAAATTTCTGTACAACTATGGTGAACTATATAAAGAGTTACAGAAAGACAAATGAAAATGCTTAAAATGTGAACTGAAAAGACTGCAAGAAATAAAAAAAGCCTAAGTTTATTCAATCTTTTTCAAGTTCTACTGAAAATAAATTTAAGGCCTACCTATAGAACAAGACAAGTTCAGATTTTTTGACAGGTCTAGAGTTACAAATCTTAGGCTACTTTTAATAAAGTACATAAAATCTTCCTTCTTCCTTCACAAGGGGAAAAACAGCATGCAAAATTGAAGCTAATGTTCAAACTGTAAAATTTAGTGCCCAAGCAACCTTTAACAAGTATGCAGATACGCATAGTGTATACCTTGAAAAGTTTCAGCTTTTTGATAGAAACAGCTATTCAGTGATAGATTTTAAGTAATTATGAAAAATGTATGTTTGAATTTATTATAAGTTAGGTTTGGACTCTTACACTAAACTTAATTCCTGGCTGTGATCGAATCCCCAGCTGTTTGATTTCCAGCTTCGCAAAAAAGCAAGTTATTCGAGTAGGTGTAAACATCAAGTATATGTTAGTATCTTCTTTGGGACGGATTTTGAGTTCCCAATTACTAGTTAAGCGTTCTTCTGATCCAAATATACTTTGCAGCTACAAAAAAAACAGAAGACACCAAAAGCAAGTGACTACAATAGGAAAAACATATAGCAGTAAAACTTAACTTCACTAGTAACCCAGAATTGAGTCCTTCAAAATCTGGATTAACTCAGTTGACAATGGCATAAATTTAAAGTTGCAATGCTTAATATGCAACAAAAAAAGACCAAGTTCAAGGTACTTTATATTCCCACAACGAGCATATCAATGCCTCTCAGTTTAGACCACAGGGGTTTTTGCCTTCCATCCACAATAAAGTAAGGCTGAGCTTAACAAGCACTACATTAATTCTCTCTCAGTTTAAGATTTTAGATATCAAATCTGAACTAGAAAAGGGGATATAAATGTATGTGGACTACGTGACAAAAAAAAAATCTCTAATTATGGTAATTCCCAAAGGCTAATTCCAGTTTTTCTTTCCTCCTTCCCTCACGTACACAGAGTCATTTTGGAGTGAGGTCTGGAATCCCTCCTGCAAGAAGGGCCACTGACAGATCACTCCAAGTGTTGACTTTGTTGTGCTACAGCAGCTTAAAGAGCTGTAAAATGAGCTCCAATTTGCTGCAGCACTCTCATCCTTCCAGCTCTTCCTAAGGCTGCCAATGTAGCTTATGCTCTGCTACCATGTCCATCCTAGCAGTCTCAGAGCAAATACTCACACAGCCTGCCAGTCACTGACATTTATAAAAAGAACACCACTGACTTATAAAGGCAAAGACATTTTTGTTATAAACATAGCCTGATTAATTGTCATAAACACTGAAGAGACATTTTCATGACAGTTACCTGAAAGCAGTCTTGATCCTGGCCTCTTATCAACAGTCTTAAATGCTGGGTCACAGATGGAGAGTCATTTCTTAGAGTTAACTTCTGCTGGCTGAAAAATATGAAGTTTAGTTATACTTTACAGCAAATGTAAATTAACTGCATATATTTATTCATGGAAACAATGGAAATGGAACAGTCAATTTTAAGGTAATTTCACGACAAAAAAAAATCGCCTCTTGAAACAACAGAATAGGTTAGCCAATTATTCCTGTATTCTCAAACTTAGAGACCTTGCAACATTATACACCATTACACATCAATCCTCATGCAGCAAAACCACCTCAAAATATATATAAACACAGCTTTTCTGAAGTTCAAGTATTGTACTTAACAGCTTGAACTTTTAAAGCAAACAGTTTTGTCAATACAAAAATCCCTTTAAAAAAAACCACTTTAAGACACAATAATAATTAGATTATCCAGAGCCACTTAGTTATGCAGAAACAGTCTTGCGTGTTGTCTGGCCCAGATTCACTGGAACAGTTGTAAAGAACTAATTTAGGACAATTTTTCCTTTTCATGCACTTTTCAACATGATAGTACCACAGAAAGTTATGGCCACTTGGCAGCATCACCTTGACCAAAAAGTAATTTTTTTCTCTCTGATATATCCTGGATTGACCAGGTTTCTGGTACTCAGATCTTTCCTCAAGAGAGGAAGGAAACCTCTCCAGCAAGAAGAGTGAGTGCCTTTGTAATTTTAACAAGTCAAAAACAACCACGAAGGATGTGACAACCCGGTAAAAACTGGTAAAAACATGAAGGAAGAGGAAGGATCATGCAGTTAGAATTAGAGGAAGGGGGAGAGAGAGCACAGCCTGTCCCCAGTTTTCAGTGGCAGACACCATTTTCTACTCACCTGGAACAAAAATTCTAAAAATAATTGCAGCTTCCTAAAACCAATAGTACATCAAAACTTTTTTTCAGGAGGAACAGAAAATAAAAGGTAGTAGCACACGGGGAAGAGAAAATAATTCCCAAACACCAACAAGCCAAAACTACTATGTTATAAATACACTATCTTAACAAAACATAAAAATAAGAATATAGCTGCCAGAAACGGTTCTTGGCAACCAACATGGATCACTTTTCAACAATCAGGAACATTATTAGATTCCTCAAAAAGTTCAATATCAAAACAACAGTGGACTCGTCCCTAAAGTAATACTTACTAGAAGTCCAGAGATCTGCAAAACTTGCAGCCTTTACATACAAAAGCAGAAAAGTATATCTAAGCAATTACAAACAGTGTCACTAAATCATGGAATATTGAAGCTATGAACATGAAACTAGAGAAGTTCAAACAAGAACTAGTCTGAAGGATAAAGCAATCATAATTAGAGTTGCAATGGATTCTCCATCACCAGAAGTTTTAACATTGAACATCTCTTTAATTTATCTATCTGAATTTTGAGTGTTTCAACAGCCTATGCTATTCAGATTGTCAAATTACATTACCAGACTAGATTCTTCTAGTCTTAATGGATGAACTGAACATAAACAAGCATAGATATTTCCAGCAAGAGATACGTGTCAAAAGAACCAACAGAATTTTTCCACCAACTTACTTGGAACATATTTTCCACTACATTTCTACTTGTATACCACACCTTAGAGAATCAGATATTATTCTAATGATAACTACAGAGTCCTGAAGAATACAAAAAGCTCAAACAAGATCACAGTTTGTTTCCAAAAATTTCTTGCACAAAAAAATAATTGTATTATACTGCTTCTCTCACTTGTGTCATAAAACAGCTTAGTTTATCATCTTTGGATTATTAATGTTAATAGGTAGTTTTACTTCAAGTAAGTGCAATGTAAAATATACTTACACAGATGCTCCAAGTGTTACTCCTCCCCAGGCAATGAACTGCTTGTTGGAGAGAATGGGTGGGATGTCTGAGCAGCCAGCAGCTGTAGACACAGGTTTATTCTCCTCAGACTCCACCTCACCTTTTATCACCACTTCATACTGAGGCCCAGATGGCAGCACAAGGATTTTCAAAGTACTTCAAAAATAAATAAATAAATTTAAATCCCACCACAGAACAAGATTAAGTTGATGAAAACAAAACATAACTGAAAACAAAAAATAAACAAACCTATAGACAGGCCTTTTTGAACTACTTTCTTAAGGGGAAAATACAAATACTTTATTTTAAGACAAAGGCCAGCTTTAGGCAAAGTTTTAGCAAAATCTAAATCCTTTGGACTGTAAATATGCATGCCATATGTATCTCAAGCAATCTTCTGAAGTATTTCATCTGGAAATGGTCCAGATAAGTCTAGACAAATTATTTTTTGCCAATGCTAACTTCTGATTGACAGACTAATTTTGGAGAGAAACAAAGCGTGGCTGTCTCTACGGAGATGAAACAGATGCAGAACTCCAATGAAGTTTTACAAGTGTGAGATACACGGAAGTGTCAAAATTAAACTGAGTCCTGTTAACAATGGTAGTGTTCTAAGCCACAAACCCAAGATTTTTTTCCCCACTTTGTTTCCTGCGATTGCTTAGAGAAAGAACACTGAGCCCACAGACAGAGAACCAGCCACCTACAGCTGGCTTTTCATGATACAGCCTCTACCCTATAGGACACAAGCACAGTGCAGATGACTACTGCCTTCTTCAGGCAGAGAAGAGAAACACGAATGAGAGCATCAGGAGTACAGATTCAAACAATGAAGTAGAAAGAATACTGAATAGGAAAGCTAGACCTAAATAGCAAAGAAAACAGAGAAGAAACTAGACACACAGAAAAAACACACAGAAGAGGAACCAGGAAAAAGAAAGTGCTGCCTAATTAAAAGGGACGGAAGGCAACAAAGAAATAAAACAAAAGGCTCAAGTATATAGGGAAGGAAGTGGAGATTGGAAGTACCTAACCAACGATACAGGGAATGAGGGGAAAAACAATCAGAAAAATAAACCAGAAAAAGAATCTAGAAAAAAGGCATAGAGCAGGAAGGAAATCAAGCTTTTAAAGAATAGGATGAAACATTTGCTATAGCACAGACCCACAAAAGCCAGGAACGAAACTCAAGAAACTCCTAGCAGTCAGTTGAATTCCTATGATGCCTACTGACAGAGTCCTGCATCCCATCAGTAGGGAACATGAACCCTTGTTACTGCTTTACTTAGTTTATTAGTCTTTTGGCAGCACTTGCAAGTGGACTGCTAAGTTTCCAACCCTACTGAGTATCTTGATGCTGTAAAGCAAAGCAGTTTTATGCATAAGACACAGGAAAGCAAAGACTAATCACTTTGTCTGTCTATCCATTAGGATCATACTGTCATTAGCACAAGACTTATCATTGTTTAATTTAATGCACTGGGTAGGCCTAGTTAAGCTAGATAGTGAAACTGAACATATCTTGGACAGCTGAAACCAGGACACCATTCTTGCTCTATTACAGCAGAAACTCCAAAACATGTAGCAAAAGAGGAAAAGCTGCTCTGGAGAATTGAGTCAGACCCCTGCCATTGTCAAAAAAACTCTGACATGACACCAGAATGGACACTTGAACCCATCAAGTCTACTTCACAGAATGAAGGTTGACAGGTGCTAATGTGCAAAAATATGAATGCTTACATCAGCAAATGGAACACGGACATAAGTGCTGTACAGGATTTAGAGCCAAACTTTGATTATGGCAGACAAAATGAATAAGTACTTTTGATCCTACCTGTGCTTGAGTTTTTTCATATGTGAAACTGAAGTAAAATTTCCCTTCTCTCAGTGGACTGAAGAAGAGGAAAGCAACTGAAGAAGCTGCTGAAGGTAAGTATTTTAAACCTTTCCTGTACTTTAGAAACATGTACCATATAAATGGCGTCGGGGACTTACTCTATTTATTTACACTAAACAAGTCTCAGGACATCTGTTGATCTCTGAGGGGAAATATCAGCTACTCATTAACTTATGTAAAGCAAAAGAGGCAGGAAATCTATGGTACAGGTGAACCTTAGCAAAAATCTACTTCGTAATGAATGAGGACTCTCACAAAAACAACTGAAGTCAAAGCCTCCCTCGTGGGTAAAACTTTCAATTTCTTTATAACCTTAAGGCCTAAAGTAGTTCTGTTTAAAACAGGCAGAATAAAATCAGTTATGTTACCTTTCTGTAGTCATTACGTTTTTTGGAAAAAACAGGACAGTCACTTCTCGTTCTTCTCCAGGAAGAAGGAAAAGATCCCCAGGTTCAACAGCAAAGCAGCTGTCCTGATTTGATGTCTAAATGTGGGCACGGGGAAAAGGGAGGCTTGGTTACTTATTTTAAGGGAGTAAACATTTCTACAACATACAATACAATTTGGGTGTGCATCTACTGTACATACAGTTCAGACAATTCAAATGCACCTGGCACCTTCAGAACTTTCACATAATCCTGCACTACTTAAACTCTTCTAAAAAGTTGGACTATAATACAAATACCTCTAAAAGAGGAATCTTAAGACATCAACTGTGTATACAATGCTGAAGGGGCCACGAACAGATTTAGAACACTTAACAGAAGTACAACATGGCAACGGTACACCACTACTGAAGTAACATCACCAGTCTCAACGGTGTTACCAACGATTACTGGTATCAGTTCGTATCCAATATCATCATGTTAATGTGGCATTTGTGATACTAGTCATGCATCCTATTTCCACGGCCTGTAAGTCATGGAAATTACATACAAGCCATGCCATTGTGTAAGGTCACAGGGCCATGTCCCCTCAGCTCAGAAACAATACAATAGGATGGGAAAAATTTGGAGAAAACAGCAGTTATAAGAGACATGTAAAGGCTTATGTACAAAGAAAACTGGGGGTCCTTATCATAGAATAGTTTGGGTTGGAAGGGACCTTTAAAGGTCATCTAGTCCAACCCCCCTGCAATGAGCAGGGACGTCTTCAACTAGATCAGGTTGCTCACAGCCCTGTCCAACCTGGCCTTGAATGTTTCCAAGGATGGGGCATCTACCACCTCTCTGGGCAACATATGCCAGTGTTTCACCACCCTCATTGTAAAAAATGTCTTCCTTCTACATAGTCTAAACCTACCCTCTTTTAGTTTAAAACCATTACCCCTTGTCCTATCGCTACAGGCCCTGCTAAAAAGTCTGTCCCCATCTTTCTTAGAAGCCCGCTTTAAGTACTGGAAGGCTGCAGTAAGGGCTCCCCGGAGCCTTCTCTTCTCCAGGCTGAACAACCCCAGCTCTCTCGGCCTGTCCTCACAGGAGAGGTGTTCCATCCCTCTGATCATTTTGGTGGCCCTCCCCTGGACCCTCTCCAACAGCTCCATGTCTTTCCTGGGCTGAGGGCTCCAGAGCCGGATGCAGAACTCCAGGAGGGGTCTCACCAAAGTGGAGTGAAGGGAGAGAATCACCTTCTTTTTTGGCCACGCTTGTTTTGATGCATCTCAGGATATGGTTGGCCTTCTGGGCTGCGAGTTCACATTGCTGGCTCATGTCCAACTTTTCATCTACCAGTACTCCCAAGTCCTTCTTGTCAGGGCTGCTCTTGATCCCTTAAACCCCCAGGCTGTACTGATACCATGGCTTGCCCCAACCCAGGTGCAGGAGCCTCCACTTGGCCTTGTTGAACCTCATGAAGTTCACACAGGCCCACTTCTCAAGTTTGTCCAGGTCCCTCTGGACGGCATCCCATCCCTCAGGCATGTCAACTGCACCACTCTGCTTGGTGTCATGTGCAAACATGCTGAGGGGGCACTCGATCCCACTGTACATGTCATTGATGAAGACAGTAAACAGTACTAGTTCCAGTACAGATCCCTGATGGACACGACTCATCACCCATCTCCATTCAGACGTTGAGCTGTTGACCACTACCCTCTGGATGCGACCATCCAACCAATTCCTCTTCTACCCAACAGTCCACCCATCAAATCCATCTCTCTCCAATTTAGAGAGAAGGATGTTGTGGGAGACTGTGTCAAAGGCCTTACAGAAGTCCAGATAGACAACATCTGTAGCTCTTCTGTTATCCACTGATGTGGTCACTCAGAGAAGGCCACTAGGTTGGTCAGGCAGGACATGCCCTTGGTGAAGACATGCTGGCTGTCTTGAGTCACCTCCCTGTCCTCCACATGCCTTAGCATAGCTTCTAGGAGGATCTGTTCCACGATCTTCCCAGGCACAGAGGTGAGGCTGACAGGTTGGTAGTTCCCAGGGATGTCCTTTGTACCCATGTTAAAAATGGGTGCAATGTTTCCCTTTTTCCAGTCTCCAGGGACTTCACCTGACTGCCAGGCCTTTTCAAATATCATGGAGAGTCATTTGGCAACTACATCAGCCAGTTCCCTCAGGACTCTGGGATGCATCTCGTCAGGTCCCATAGACTTATGTATGTTCAGGTTCCTCGTGTGGTCTCGAACCTGTTCTCTTAAAGTGGGAGGGACTTTGCTCCTCCAGTCCCCATCTTGCAGGCCATGCCCTTGAGAGGTGTGGGAAGAGAGATTGCCAGCGAAGACTGAGACAAAGAAGTTGTTGAGACCTCAGCCTTCTCTTCATCCATTGTTACCAGTCTGCCAGCCTTGCTCATCAAGGGGTGTATGCTTTCTTTAACTTTCCTTTTCTGGCTGACATACCTGTTAGAAGCCGTTACGATTCTTCGCATCCCTTGCCAAGTTCAGCTCCAGACGCGCCTTAGCCTTCCTGACCCCATCCCTACACAAGCGGGCATTGTCCCTGTTACTCTTCCCAGGACACCTGTCCCTGCTTCCACTGCCTGTGCATTTACTTCCTGCCCTTTAGTTTGACCAGCAAGTCTCCACTCAGCCATGCCAGTCTCTTGCCTTCCTTTCCTGATTTCTTAAACCTGAGGATCAAGAGCTCTTGTGCTTTGTGGAAAGCAACCTTAAAGACCTGCCAGCTCTGTTCTGCTCCCTTGTCCCTTAGGGCAGTTTCCCAGGGGGACCTACTGACTAACTCCCTAAAGAGCTGGAAGTTTGTTTTCCTAAAATTCAGGGTCCCGACTTTACTCTTCGCCTGACCGATATCCCTCAGGACTGCAAACTACACCAATGCGTGATGAGTGCGGCCCAGGCTGCTTCCAATCTTGACGTCACCAATTACCTCACTTAAGAAGTTATCCTCCATGCATTCCAGGAGTCTCCTGGATTGCCTACAGCTGACTGTGCTACTTTTCCAGCAGATGTCAGGGTGGCTGAAGTCCCCCAGCAGGATGAGAGCCTGCGAGCATGATGACTCCTGTAGCTGGAGTAAGAAGTCTTCACCAATAAACTCCCCTTGTTTGGGCAGTCTGTAGTAGACACCAACCATAAGTATTGCTTTGTTGCCATGGTCTCCAATTCTTACCCATAAGCTTTCAACCTGCTCATGGCTATTCGTCACAGGCAGCTCTTCACACTTTATCCATTTCTTGATGTAGAAGGCAACGCCTTTCCCCTCCTTCTTTACCTGTCCCTTCTGAACAGCCTGTAGCCATTAATAGCTGCACTCCAGTAGTGGGATTCATCCCACCAAGTTTCAGGAATGGCAACTAGGTTGTAGCTTTTTAGCAGCATGGTGGCTTCCAGCTCCTACTGTTTGGTTGCCCATGCTGCATGCATTGGTGTAGAGGCACTTCAGCTGGGCTGTCAGCAGCATCACCTTCTTAGAGGAACACCCCTTAATTCATTTGACGTATTTCACTGGTGTTTCCCTGTTGGCTCCTATTACCTCAGGAGCCCCCAGCTTATATCCCTAAGACTTCAACTGTGCTGCAGTGTAGCCAGCACATCTCAAAGCAACAGGCTGAGGGCCCTTGCTAGCATCCCGTCCCTCTAACTTGGCATGTCATCCCACAGCTTGTCACAGGCTTCCCCGTTCAAATCTAGTTTAAACCTCTGTCAATAAGACCTGCCAGCTTGTGAGCCATGACCTTCTTCCCCCTTTGAGAAAGGTGAATCCCATCTGATGTCAGCAAGCGTGGTGCTGTGTAGGCCATCCCATTATTGAAAAACCCAAAACTGTGGCAGTGACACCAGCCACGGAGCCATGCATTAATAGACTGGCCCTATCTGTTTCTTCCAATGTCGCTGCCTGCAACTGGAAGGACAGAGATAAAAATAACCTGTGCTCCAGATTCCCTAATGTAAATTTGTAAATCTTTTCTCAAACCACACAGTTAATCTAGCATTGCAAGGCTTGGCTCTAGCTTCAATACAACATTAACAGGACAAAACTCATGATTTCAAGAGGGAGAAACCAACCTACCTTAACTTTCAAATATACACCAATGTTTCCAGCATTTTTCAATGGCAGCTGCTGTTTGGCTGTGGAACCCACACTAGTAGACAGATACATTGTCTGGAAAACGTAAAGAAGTGTGTATGTATGTATATATGCATATATAATAAAACTAAACGTTACAAAAGAAGCAGGCTAGGAGAGACAAACTATTATTAAAACACATTTCATAAATACATGCAAACCTGTAAGTCCTTCGGAGCATGTATCCTTGCTGTTCCAGCTCTTGCTCGGAGAGGAATACTTTTAATTACACTGCTAGGTCCTGGACTATCCACTTCCACATCAACTCTTGCCAAGAATTCATCTGCTGGACCCAAGGAATCTAGGAACAATTCCATGAGTAACAAAGGCAAGCAAGTCTGCTAGCAGCAAATGACATTCCTACGGATGCATGTCTCACTTCAGCTACTGTCCAAACTTAACACATTAATGTTGTGGTAACATTAACAGAAACTCTCCCCATTATCCCAGCAACATTTTTTTCTTTTATTTAAAGTCTCACAGGATTTTATTTAAGATTTTAAATCTCTCAAATGTCTCTGTCAAAATGTGGCTGGAATTGTCCTTAAAGCAAACAACAAAAACATCCTATACTAGCCAAACTAGTTCACATATGTACTCTCTACTCCTTGGGAAGCCAGAAAAACTCCGGCTTTTTGGAAGCCAGAGAAATTGGAAGAGGTTTCTTCCAATTTCTTATCTACTTTGCAACCAGTGCAGTGTTCTAATCAATGATTATTTAATTCCCCCAGAAAAAGGAGTAAAGCAAATTCCACACATCTTGCAGTAGCTAACCGCTTTGTACAGCTTAATAGTGAAGTATAAATACCCCTGTTAGCATCTAAATGATTAAGACACGGAAGTATTCCACCTCCTTCAGTTACTAAAATTAACACAATACCCAAAATATTAGGATACAAACCAAAGATGGAATATTTGATTTCAAATTTCCAGCCTGTTCCTGCAATTCTAAGACATGCATACACTAGAAGTCAAATTTGTTTTAGCTGAAATTAAAAACAAGTTGCTATACCTGAACAAGAAATTTGTTTCTTAGGTGCATGGAACAGAACCCAAACTGTTAAAGCTTCCGGATCCTGAAAAAGAAATTGGTAGACTCATCTTATGGCGGGGAATTACTGAAGAGAAAAAAAAAAATTAAATAAAGCTAGCAACAAAACTCTACTGCTCGAATAGGCAGACCCCGCAAAAATCATTACTGTCAACCCAGATATTCACAACCATCATTTCAGACAGCAAGTAACAGGAAGAATCAGACAACTACAAAACTACTCACTTGCCCATCATAGCTTGCATGTATCACATGATTTACGACTGACGGAGCTGCTATCTGAGAAACTGCATCTGTTTGAAGCGATTGTTCATTAGAAGCATTAACTGGTTCCTTGGAAAACGTGAAGCAACGCCAAGCTACTGCATTCTGTCAAAGAAATAAAATATTAAAAGTATTAAATCTCTTATTGTCACTAGCGATAATGCTGACAAAGCTGATAAATACAAGGCAAGCTCTGAACAATCTAAGCAGTTTGGAAAAAAACAATCAAAGATTCGCCTGTAGTTTCAGTCAGTATGTGATAATCCAGCAAATCCTCTAAAAATAGTCGGAAACCCTTCTGCAGTAAAGGAGGCAAGCTGGAACTGTTTAGTTTAAGCCTTCAGGAAGTTTGGCTGTTCAAGACCAAACCTCACTAGTCATTAAGATGACCATCCAATCCTAACATAAGGCCAGTCCTTTCTTGTTCCCCACATAAGGAAACAAGACCAGCTCTTCCCACAGCAGAAAACAGCAGCCAGCCTAGCCAGAAATCTGAAATCTGCATTGCCACAGAGAGATGCAGAGGAGCATATTGTAGCCTATAATACAGGCTATTATTTTCTAGTGTGAGACAAAGCACATGGAGTGAAGAATCCTGCTCTTGCTCCTGCAGAGGAAGAGAGAATATGTTAAACTTGCTACGAAGCAAGTTTGCCTGCTTGTTTGAACAGTCAACTGTTCCACTTGAACAGTGGAATACATCTCCCATCTTCTCAGAGGGAAGGATTAAGCAACCCAATCCTTTCACTATCTGCTGCCCTGTGCTATCAAATCAGCCAACACAGAGGCAGCAGTCCATGGCTGGGCTGTGAAAAGCTGGGGGTGGCGGGAGAAAAAAAAAAAAAAAAAAATTAAACTACTAAACAAAACCCCACACCTATCCCAGAAGCATTTTTGTTGGTACCTTTACCATTCTAGCTGAATCAGATTATCACCCTGCAAAAAAAAAAAAAAATTTCCTGCCTAACCAAAGATTTCTTGGGAATCTTACATCTAGTGTCCAGGGTATATTTCTTAATGACACATAATATAAAGTGTTTTGGTATTACATTTCATTACCACAAGAAGTTAACTTTCACATACAGGAAGTTTACTGTACTTACAGCATTAATAATAAGTCTAATTGGCACAAAAGCATGGGTTTTGTTGATAAGTTTTAGTGGAAGAGCTTTCCAACTGCCAGAAGTCAAGTCACCAAAATCCAGATAATCTCTTTTTCCTGTTTCCACCTGGTTTTGAGGAAAAGCAGAACTTCAAAGGAAGGATAAAGTCCTAAAACTTATCTAAACTTCACTGTTTTGGACTCCAAAATACACTACCATACAAAAGCACCAGGAAAATAAGGACATTATTCACCTACTCCATACTCTTAATGCTATACCCACATACAATACACACCTCCTACCTGAGGTAGGAGGAATCTAAGAAATGTTTCCTTTGATATCAAAAAGGTTTACACTCAATTGGCTATCTCCCACATATTTTGCCTCAGTCAATTAAGACAATCTTAGTGCAATATTTATCCACTAAAACCCAGTACACAATCAAATTAGTTTGGCTAATTTAAAATAAAAATAAATCTAAACTATGATTATTGCTAGCAAGTAAGAAATGTCAGGTTTAGATCATTAAAATGTCATTTTAGCAAGTTAAAAGTTAAGAAAGTAGTTAACTACTAGAGAGTAGTTAATTTTTGTTAGCAGTGTTATGATCTGCAGCGAAATACAGCATTTATTTGGTACTTTTTCCAATCTGAGGAATATAACAAGACATGCAGAGATAGAGAATAAGGTTTAATTTTAACTTAAACATGAAGCAAGTTTGAATGAACTGTACCATAAAGAACATGGAGAATGATGGATTTTGCCAAACTATGTATTAAAAAATGCATTAAAAATTAAATCAAAATTTATGGAAGGAGCATTATAAATTATATTCATTCATGTGTATTCAACTAGAATATCATTACTTTAAAACATATACTTAGCCCAAAGCAAGTTAACAGACCACCTTAAAACGGAAAAAAAATGTTAGCTGTGGTTAATGGCTGAAAATTTTACTTTTATCAGCAATGTCAGAATATCCTATAATTTTTTCAGTCACTTCCAAAAGTACCATTAAATCCATTTCTGCTTGTCCATACTCTTGACATTTAGGACTATATAAAGCCAGATTTAATTCTTAACATCACACTGTCTCCCACCTGGTTGTTTTTCAGGGTAAGAAACAAGACAAAGTATTTTATACATCCACTTACTTTTAATTTTTATTTAGTCCAAAATAGGAAAACATTCTCTACAACCATAAATAAGCTGAAGGTAATAAGAAACCAAGACAAAGCCTACTTGATGTAAAAACTAAAGAAATCCTTACAACTGGAAATAAATGCTTTTTGTTGCATTTTAATGCCCAGTGGTATCCAACATAGCAGATACTTAGAAAGCATTAGATGTTTAAGATCTCATCCAGTCTTTTAATAATGAAAAAGTAATACGTTTTAATTTATTTTTTTCAGCCTAGTTATAGGCTTCTCATAAACATTCTCCTATATTCCTTCCCCACTCCAAACATATGAAATTCCAGGTTCCTTTGAAGAACAACCTAGTGCTCCTGTTCTTTTCCAGTGACATTAAACTATTCATAAAATCCCCACCCCCACAAAATAAACCCAACACAATAAGCAGCTACTTACCTCTAAATTAGGATTTTCAGCGACTGCTGTCAGAACTACCCTACTTGCCAAAGCTTCTGCCTGAACAATTGTCTCAGCATCTGCAGAAACTGGCCAAGATGAAACATTGAGGATACACTGAAAGATCCCCGAATGACAAGGTAAGAAAAGTATTTTCAGATCATTGGTAGAATAGGATCCTACGATGGTTTTGTTCTTGAAAACCAGACATTGATATTTCACAGGATCCATCTGAAAAACAAAATGTCTGTCACTTTCAACAGGCCTCTTGCCAGAGGACAGCTTCTTTCAAACTAGCACATTTATCTGGTGCCACTGCTCAGCAGTGGTTTGTGTATCTTTTGCTTAATATTAAATTACTGCATCTTCATATTCATGCCCCACTTCCATCCCACTCAACTGTTGGTACCTTCTTTTAATTTAAAGAGTTAGATAAGTCAGCCTGAAAGTTGCTGGGGTTTCTTCCCAGCATCTAGTGAGAGATTAACACTGGGATTATAGTATTTATTATATTTGAAACTGAATTCAAGTGATTGTGCCCCTGTACTCGGCACTGGTGAGGGCGCACCTTGAATCCTGTGTTCAGTTTTGGGCCCCTCACTACAAGAAGGATGTGGGGGTGCTGGAGCATGTCCAGAGAAGGGCAACGAAGGTGGTGAGGGGTCTGGAGCACAAGTCTTATGAGGAGTGGCTGAGGGAACTGGGGTTGTTCAGTCTGGCGACGAGGAGGCTGAGGGGAGACCTTATCGCTCGCTACAACTACCTGAAAGGGGGTTCTGGCGACGAGGGTGTTGGGCTCTTCTCCCAAGTAACCAGCGATAGGACAAGAGGAAATGGCCTCAAGTTGCGCCAGGGGAGGTTTAGATTGGATATTAAGAAAAATTTCTTCACGGAGAGAGTGGTCAGGCATTGGAGCAGGCTGCCCAGGGAGGGGGTGGAGTCACCATCTCTGGAAGTGTTCAAAAAACGTGTGGATGTGGCACTTCAGGACATGGTTTAGGGGACATGGTGGCGCTGGATTAATGGTTGGACTTGATGATCTTGAAGGTCCTTTCCAACCTAGTGATTCTGTGATTCTGTGAATTCATAAGTAAAACTCTGATTTTTGAGAAAGAACAGCAGCAAAATAAACAAAGCCAATTCTTCTTGGTGCTTTCTGCCCTCAAAGATGGGAGGAAGAATTATGGTGGAAGCCTAATGGAAAGGTCAGCGGATGGAGGTCACCAGTACATCCTAGCGCAGGATTTACTTTCTGTTGCGAACATATTCATAATCTTCAAGCAGAAGAGACAGACTGCAAGTCACACTCAGTGTATCTCAAAGTTAACCTGACTGAAAAAAGTGAGTTTTAATTATAATGTGGAGCAAACAAATTACATTTATGTATTTGTTCATGGAAACAACTGAAAATGGGACTGTCAACTATAAAGTAATTTAATGAAAAAAAAATTTCTTTCCTGGTACAACAGAATATCATGTTTGAAGAGCTGCATAAGAGCCTCATGACATTGAGTGACTAGAAAAATCTTAACTCTCATATACACATATGTATATATACATACACACCGAATTGTGGTTTGGTGATTTTTAAAGAGGAAACATTCAGAGAAAAGGAGAGCAAAACTACAAGTCATACTCCTGGAAAGACACGTGCTATGTCTGCTGGAAAAATATACCTAAGGAGGGATATGATAAGGATTTTCAAGACTTACAGGCAACAATATATAAGTGAATTTATATACCATTGTTTTTTGGTAATAAAGACCATCAAACAAAACCAGTGAGAACCAGATTTTAAAAAGGAAAGAAGTAGTACTGCATAGAATCCACAACTGAACTGAACTCTGGACAACACTACAGAATTTCAAAAGATTAACTAGATAAAGAATAGTCCATCAAAAACTAGTAAGAACAGAAATAACATCTAGCTCAGAAGTTCCCAAGCATCGAAGTGCCAGAAGCTCAGAGTATACTATGCTTGTTCTGCTGTTATATTCTTCTCTACTAAGAGTATTCATCAGTAAAGGAAGTTAAAGTATACTGATGGACCTTTAATCTAACTCATTCTTATGTTCTTGAGATCTTTTACCTCTGGAACTATTATTATGATGACAGAAGCAGACAGAATTTAACAAAATTAAAGGGCAAGATGCCCAAACTATGGCCTACAAGCTACACTGTCCTGGTTTCAGCTGGACTAGAGTTAATTTTCTCCATAGAAGCTGGTGTGAGGCTGTGTTTTGGATTTGGGATGAAAATAATGTTGATAACGTGCTGATGTTTTGGGTTGTTGCTAAGCAGTCAGGGACTGTCCAGCTTTTCATGCTGGACATTTCCTGCCAGGAAGTGGGCTGAGGGTGCACAGGGAGCTGGGAGGGGGCACAGCCAGGACAGCTGACCCAAACTGGCCAAAGAGATATTCCATACCATATGACGTCACTCTCAGCATATAAAACCGAGGGAAGAAAAAGGAAGCGAGGGACGAAAAAGGAAGCGAGGGACGTTCGGAGTGATGGCATTTGTCTTCCCAAGTAACCATTACGCGTGATGGAGCCCTGCTTTCCCCGAGATGGCTGAACACCAGCCTGCCCATGGGAAGTGGGGAATGAATTCCCTGTTTTGCTTTGCTTGCGTGCATGGCTTTTGCTTTGCTTATTAAACTGTCTTTATCTCAAACCACGAGTTTTCTCACTCTTACCCTTTCGATTCTCTCCCCTGTCCCATCGGGGGGAGTGAGCAAGTGGCTGCATGGTGCAGGGTTGCCACTTAGTAAGCAGCTGGGGTTAAACCATGACATACATATAACCCAAAGAACAATGCATCTAGGTTGAAGCCTGCTCCAAATATTTGTCATTCTCTGTCATGCAAGATCTCCCAATTTCAAGAAAAATGAGAGCAAACTACACAAAATGTTTTAGCAATAACAGTCCTCAGCATGGATGCTTTCTTTTCTAGGGCGGACTTTTCTTGCATACCAAGGTAGGAGTGAATAAGCGGTGAATCCAAACCTACTACACTTTACGCACACAAAACAATTCTACAAGTCAATCCTGTCATGTGGCATTTACCTCTCTACACCTACTTGTTGGAGTAGGTCAGGTGGCCTGGCTGAAAGAGGGTAGCACTGCTTTTGTGCACAGTAACTATAAAATGGGAAAAAATTACAAATCTCTACAGAGGGCTGTAATTTTACATATGACATCTGGTAAGATTACAGCATTGTTCCTACAGCTTTATTAAAAAAAAAAAACAAAAAACCCTTACCTTTTCCCCATTAACTGAAACACTGAGTATTCCAATGCTGACCTGCAACCACCGTTCAGTTGGATTAAAAATGCTAAGAACCGTCTGTGATGCAATTCCCACGCAACAGGCATTAGGGAACTTCAATTCTTCTGGTACTTTCACATGTCCTTTGGAAGAAAATATGCTCATGTTAGTTCCAATTACCCAGAAAGCAAATCAGCACTCAGGCAACCACCGTATCAAGTTTATAAACTCATTTGACGACTGCTTCATTATGGGAAGGAAATGTTTGACAGTTTTCATTAGAACGTTTTCCACAAGCCTGATACTCAGAATGTCAATCAATTGTTTCTAATTTGCATCTTATTTGGAATTCTATTATCACGAACAAAAATACTTATGGAAATAACACCTCCCATGCAGACACTAACCCACAAAGCATATCATACAAAACACTCAGTGTTCACAATTTAATCAGTACTAACCCAACTCAGAAAATGTGAATATCAGTATTACAACATCTTTAGAACATTTACACTGACCACAAGGAAAACCTTTTTTTACCGGAGTATAACTGTTACCTTAAAAGTTGTTTGGTCATTTTTCGCTACAGAAAATACTGAGTACTCCTAGAGTAGATTTTTGCTGTAGAAGTACAGTCATCAAAAGTTATCACCAGATCAAAAAGAAATCCTGCTTCAAATATTTTACTTTCAGGAAGTCCTTACTTCCAAAATATTAAAAATAACTTTTTCAAAGTAATTGCAGCATAATAACGACAACTCACAGCTCAAATGAAGGTAAGAGCTCTCTGGCATGCTGAGGATCTATCTTCATTATATCCAGAAACCCACTAATGGGCAGTCATGTCAAATTAAAAAATTTGATTTCTCAGTTTGAGAAATCACCTGACGTAGTTTTAGTTACTTGAGCAACAAGTTGTTGTGGTTTTTTTAAGCCACACAGTTGTTCCCCTCAAAAAAAAAAATTTAGCACAAGTATGAAAGTGAAAATATAAACCAAGACTAGTATCACTGGAAATTAAGTTCAAAAACTTAAGTTTGCCAAAAATCAAGTTTAGACTACATAGATACTCAGAGTTCAAACACATGTACAAAATCCTAGAAATTATATATTTTAAAAACAGGCAAAGAGTAAGATTGTTCAAATTTTACTATTTTTAAATGCACTAACAAGATCAATGATTTTGAACCATCAATGAACAGAAAATAGCTTATAAACTGTCACAAATTCAAACCTTCAACCCCACTAGCTTGCCGTTTCATCTGAAAGAATTAGCCAGAAAAAAGTATAGCAAACAAACAACTAAAGAGATCATAGGTTAAAAGTCATCTTTAAAATGAAACACTTCATTTGCATTGCTTAGGTTTAGAGCTAAGTCAAGATACAGAGAAAGAGCAGAAAGTACAGAAGGCACTTGGGAGCTTGTCTTTCCCCATCACAACCAGAAAACAGCTTAAGCCCTCCACACTCTTCCTCAGATTTTTTGGCTTAACTGACCGCTAGTACCAAGTTAGGCTGGAGACAGAAATGTCATCTACTTTCCAGGTAAAATACAACTGAATTTCCAGAGTATGACTTGTGTTGCCTAGCATAAACTGCTGCTAGGATTTCTCTTCCTCCTATGAAAGACAGTTCTAGATCCTCTAAACAAACACAAAACCACTGAATGCTGAAGAAGAATGCAGAAATTGTTCCAGATTATGAAAAATTTATTTTAAGACCGTTAAGGGGACTATAAGAATAGCCACTGAATTCAGACAACAACATTAAAAAAAGAAAATTAGTAATACCTTTTTCTAAAATGACAAAGCTTGCATAAAGAATAACTGTGGTTACACTTAGCAATCATCTTAATTTTATTTACTATAATATTAGAATCATCACTATCACCATTCTTGTCCACAGCTTTATTTTAAACACACTTACCAATACCAGGTGACTTCAGCAACTCCCACTCATTTCTACCTCCAAGAGGTTGTCCAGTACAGGATTTTATGTTTAAGATATTCTTGTTCCAGGAAAAAGACTGTGTATTACAAAGTGAAGCTGCACCCAAAGAGCCAGGACCAATATTTGGACCTAAAGGAATTCCTGCCATAAGTGGATTCTCAACATGTCCTGCTGGGATACCAGAACAAGGAAGCCCTCCTGGAAGACCAAAACCTGCAGAGCTGCAGCCATGAAACTGAGACAAAACTGTATTTCCAGTAGATGGTATATTTCCCAGATGCTGTTGTGCAAATGGAGTTGTTGCAAGAGAACGTTCTGTAAGCAACGTGGGAACAGAAGAAATTGCTTGACTCTCAGAGGTAGTGACATGGGATTTAAAGCTTGAAATAGGAACATACTGTTCACCAGATGAGTTTTGACTGAATGGCATGTAAGTGCTTAATCCAGGATATACCGGTAACATATTCAAGGAAGGCAATCCTTGTCTCTGTGCTTTGCTTGTTTGATCCTGCCACACTTCTTGCGCATCAACATTAACAGAAAGTGGCTGAAAGATGCAGAATTTACTTGGTAAAGCCGATTTAACATGGTCTAGCTCTTTGTGACTTGCTGCTACATTTGAAGGAATAGATGCGTGCTGCTTTTCATTCTTTGGAAAACCTTCTTTGGACAGTTCTTGACCCAGTACATCATCAAGTTTTCTTTGAAGAAGTTCTTTTTCTTCTGATTTCTGGTCAATACTAAGCAGTGCTTCATTTCTATTTCTTTGACATGGGTGGTCGTCTAGATTTTCATTTTTATGTTCCTGCGAAGGAGTTGGGCTGGCTCGAATTATTGTTGTGCTCAGTTCACTAGCATTTTCACCCTAGTAAACAAGTGTAATATGCAGTATTACAAATTTTAGAATATTTATAATCACTCGGTAACAAGTGATTGCTTTTACATCACTTCCCTGCCCCCCACTTCACTTATTAAACCATCTTTATCTCAATACACAAGTCCTCCACCCTGCTCTGTTCCCCTTCCAATTCTCCCCTCCATCTCGTTGTGGGGGGAATGAGTGAGAAATTTGGGGGGCTCAGCCACCAGCAGGGGTCAACTCACCACACTAATACAAGAAGAAAGGTCTGATCTCTGAAGTTACCACCAACTAAAAGAGTTTCCACAGAGCCAAAATTGTTGACTTCCTATGATTTTATAAAGCCAATCTGTGGGAAAGTAACTGTACTATAAAAAAAACCACAACAACAAATGGAGCAGATTCCTAATCTCACTGACGGGTTCACAGACATTATTATTCTAAAAAAACAGAGACCTGCAGTGAGTTGTCTTATTTATTGTGTTTGGATCCAATATCAGGAAGATTTTCACATTTAAAAGTGCATGAATCAATCCTAAATAGCAGCATCCAAGTATGGTATAGATTATTTCCGTCCGTATTCTTTACGACTTTCTTGAATGCAAAGGTGCTTACTAAGGTCTAAGTTTCTTTTAACAAAAAATGAGAATCCCCAACTATTAAGAGTCCACTAACAAAAAGGTGATGTGATTAGGTATCAAATCTGTACTTAGGCTTCTTAGTAAAAAGGACCTAGAATCAGAAAGTTACAGTAACATCATAGCAGACAGATTCTTTGAGAATAAAAACGCTGAAGACATACTTGCCAGCTTTTTAAGAAAAAAAAAAATTTAAATCAATGGCCCTGAACCAAATCATTAATCAAAAAAGGATTAAGTTTAAGATGCATGAAAATGCACCTATACAAACACTTTCTTTGTGCACACACACAAAGTAATCAATCCCAAAGACCTTCCATTTTGGCAGGTATGTATGGTGTAGGTGGAATGAGTGCATCTCATCCTCAGAGTCTTGGGATTTTTGTACTTGTAAATCAAACCACGAGAAAAAGAAGTACGAACCATAAATATGCATACACACAAATGTGTTTCAAGGCATCCCCTGTTGAGTTAGAGTGTCAGGAGCAGAAGTGATTACACCCTCTCATGCACTGTTGTAGCTACTAACAATAGCATTGGCCCTAATCAGTGCAGAAGGATTCACCATGGAAGAACCACGCTCCCACAACTGGCATGATACTTGGCAATCTTCACAGTACAGTGGACAGAACTCCAGCTATCTCCTCTACTGACCTGAAAAATGGAAGTGTTCTTTAGATGTGCTACAAAGGTTAATTTTTTCTTGTGAAGTACATCCAGATCACAGATTCCATTTTCAAAAATGGAGTTTCAAAATAATTTTTAAAAGTTTCAAAACCAGAACTAGACAGTGTGGTATCAAAGCAATCAGACATCAGCTCAGGACATGTGTACCTAGAGGACTCTGACAAAGAGCGCTACACAAAAGGGTGAGGAGTATCAACAGTGTAAAGCAATTGTTCAGCTTAAGTAAATAGGACTCGGGAGGCAGGGAAAGGCATGTGAAAAAAGGGTAAAGAACTATAAAGCAGCTGTTCAGATATTGTTGTAGAAAAAAGTAAGCTGCAAGTTACAATCCTTTAAAAAGGGCATTCAGGGCAGCTGCCTGAGGTGAGATGGCTAACCAGGCCAAATCAACCAAACAAGAAATAAAAAAAATATATTTTTTAAATCATGCACCTTTGACAACCTGACCCTAGTGTTAAAGGGAGAGGGCTGGTTAAACAGATTGTGCTTTAGGAAGTATTCAGATCTGAAGATAACACCAATACAAACACTCTTGTTGTCTGTAAGAAGCTGCAAGCAAGGGACATGAAAGTGGCTCTTAACAAGTACAAATAAGATGAAGATATCTCGGTCTGTCTCTCAGTGTAAAAGATTACTAACTCAAAAGAATAAATTAACACTGCAGCCTTATAAATGGGACTTATAAATGTACTCATAACACAAATGTAAAACTTTGGTGAAGTACTTGAGGATCTCCTTGCTAAACTACCCTGGGGAACAAAGACTACTCAAAGAGTAACACCTCTTCAAAGCAAAGGGACAAACTAGTAGGCAGCCAGCTATATCAAAGCATCAAGAGCCACCCGTTTGCATGAGATGACAGGAATCGAGAACCATACACATTTCAAACATGAAATACACCCAAAAGCGGATGCTATGCCAGCACTGACTGCAAGCAAATACCCATTTAAATTTGCTCTTGGGTGCCTTCCTACAGGAGTGCGATTCCCACTGGAAACATCAAGATGGAAAAGAACAGATACTCCCTGTTGTAACTTGAGCAACTAGACCTAGAAAAAAATGGGCTATAGGCCAGAAGACACACTTCTGTCTTCCCAATGCTTTCCGCATGAAGGAACACTGGCTGCTGGTGTTCCTACAGGAGGAAGAGAAGGCTTCAATAAGCTTTCACTAGCCACCAGTCCTGAAAAGCCTCACCCTCTGCAAATGAAAAAAAAAAAATGTATAGCAGAGAGCACTTCTATTTCCTGTGTTAGAGGAATCCACAACTCAAAGATATTACAAAATAAATGTAACCACTCAGATTTACACAGACATGGATGCAGTCAGGGAGGCTCTTCAGCTTTTGTTTGTTTGGTTTTTTTAAAGTTCCATCCACATTTCCACACACTTTGGAAGGGGGGAGGCATAACAGAAAGATTCCATGGGTTCCAAGGAACCCGTGGACTTAGATAAAAGAATGCCAATTATCTTAATCAGCATAAGATTGCAAGTCTGAACAAAAGTCTCATTCTCAGAGTACACTCTTTGCTAAAGCAGTAAGAACAGTCAGAATGACTGTCAGAGGTAGAAAATGGTAACTTCAGTCCTGAAAAAAGAAGTTAAAGCTGAAATACATATTTATAAATGTTTCTCAAAAAAAAAAAATATTCTCCTAACAGCTGCAGATGAGCAGAAAGGGAGCCTCAGGGCTGATGAAATCAGATCTAGATCCTACAAACTACTACTGGAATACTGCACTGCATTCCAAGAACAGAATGACTTAACAAGCAATTGAGGGGAAAAAGAAAAAAAAAAAAATCAAAGGGGAAAATGCACCAACTCTAACTTTTGAAAAAAGTTAGCAGTTCTTTGATTGTTCTACTATGTTTATATTCATTAGGGTTTGTGCATTTAACACAATTTATTTCAGAATTTAAATTTCTGATACTCAGGAGTAGGGGAGAAGCAGAATACCTTTTCCCTATGCACAGCTTGTCCCAAGCTGTTCCGAAACTTTTAAGGCTTTTCTAATTTAGAATTATTCTGACCATTTAACAGTTTGGTTTTGGGGTGAGGGAGACGTATTGTTTTGTTTGTTTGAAAGAAAGAAAGGGAATTACTACATATTTAGAGTTCAATATTTTCTTACCCAGTATGTCTCCGGATTATGTATTAAAGCTGTGTTCTTAAGGGTACTGTCAGATGCAGAGACATATGTTAATCTGCTCATGCTAGGACTTGAGAAAACTGACTGAGGTAGTACACTCTCTTTGCAAGAAGACTCCTGATAATGTGACGTGCAAGTAAAGTCAGTTTCAGACCTGAAAAACAGATTCAAAGCATGTCAGCATTAGAATATATTTATAAAGCTGCCCCCAAGAAAAATCAATGCTACAGGTTAGCTATACTATTCTAAAAATCAACTTACTTAGCCATTCTGTTTAGTACAGTCAGTAGAAATGAGAAATCATCTCTCAGTTAACCCTTACAAGTCCTGGCTTTGTTGTACATAAAACTCATTTTCATTAGATATAAATCCATAAGGCAAAGCATCAGAGTTCCACAACTGAACTCAGATGCTAAGGCCACAGAAACAACACAACAACTTATTAAACAAAAAAAGGTGAATCAATATACTTGTATCTAACTAGATGCAAGAATGTCAGATGAAATCATTCAACATCCTAGGCATCACACAATAATATTTCCTATACTGTATTCCACTGCTGAGATTCTCTTCATTTCACACACCTGAAACCACAAGATCTCTCACCGCTTTGTCAAGCAAGAAGAGATAACACGAAAACAATTAAAGTCACTGTCAATTTTAACTGTAAATCCCAATGTCTATATAACGAGCTTGCAAAAATACACATACTTATGCAGATTTTATCTTCCAAGAAATGCCAGACAGCCTGTAATTCTAATATCATAGACAACACACTAACTGTAGTTAAATATCCAACAGTGAACTTAAAAGTTAAGGCAAAGAAATCAGCTGCCTCCTCTTCTTATGAGAATGTATATAGCCACTGGCTACTGGCCACATTTATATGTTTAAGACTACACAATCAACTTCATTGTAATCTTATAGTTTATATAACACATTGTTACGGGAGCTCATTTGAAAAACATTGCCCTTTCAGTTGCTAAGAAGAGCCTTAAAACTTAGACACAAGTTGCAGTTTCAAAATATGAAATGGTCAAAAACAATACAAATATTTCTACCCATTCTCTCTCACAACAAGCAGTGGTATGAATCAGAGAACCAAACTAAGTGAAATACTTCTAAGTTTAAAAAACACATCTTCACTGCTGGATGAAAAGCCGGACATGAGCCAACAATGTGCGCTCACAGCCCAGAAGGCCAATCGTATCCTGAGCTGCATCAAAAGCAGCGTGGCCAGCAGGTCAAGGGAGGGGATTCTGCCCCTCTACTCTGCTCTGGTGAGACCCCACCTGGAGTCCTGCGTCCAGCTCTGGAGCCCTCAGCACAGGAAAGACATGGAGCTGTTGGAGCAGGTCCAGAGGAGGGCCAGAAAAATGACCAGAGGGATGGAACACCTCTCCTATGAGGACAGGCTGAGAGAGCTGGCATTGTTCAGCCTGGAGAAGAGAAGGCTCCAGGGAAGCCTTATTGCAGCCTTCCAGTACTTAAAGGGGCTTCTTAGAAAGATGGGGACAGACTTTTTAGCAGGGCCTGTAGCGATAGGACAAGGGGTAATGGTTTTAAACTAAAAGAGGGTAGGTTCAGACTACATAGAAAGAAGAACTTTTTCACAATGAGAGTGATGAAACCCTGGCCCAGGTTGCCCAGAGAGGTGGTAAATGCCCCATCCCTGGCAACTTTCAAGGTCAGGCTGGACGGGGCTGTGAGCAACCTGCTCTAATTGAAGATGTCCCTGCTCATTGCAGGGGGGTTGGACTAGATGGCCTTAAAAGGTCCCTGCCAACCCAAACCATTCTATGATTGGTCTATACAATGTCAAGTTTAGTTATCATATAATTAACATCACAAGCCCCAAAATAGCTTTATTTGTAATACATTAATTACACTAGAACAACAATTAATAAATATGGGATTTTATAGCTCCATCAACACAAAAGTTTTAGGTATCTGAGGTATATGACTAGCTAAGAGGCTGAATAGTTTGTACTCTTGCATTACTGGATAATCCTGAGCAGAAACAGCATTGTTCTTATCCAGCATCACTGTCTCATCAGGCCAGTGAGGAAAATACAAAGTTAGCACTTGCTTAAGACTGCTTCCCCATACACATGATAAAAGCAAACAGAAAGCTTAGTCTAAGAATGAAGCCTCAGCCTAATAGACATTTTCTATAAACTGAGATAAATGACAACATTCAAACTAAAACTTGATCCCTCAAAAATCCTCACAAAGCATTAATAATTCTTATAACCTGCACCAAGAAATTTACCCTGAAAATGCTGTTCCAGAAGTCTCACTAGGAGAAGAGTGAATTAGTGGTGAAGTCGAAGGTCTGAAGCTATACTGCTCATCCTCCAGAGGCTGGAAGTCACATTCAGGTACAATGGATTTATGCTCTGGTAAATAAACAGAATTTAATAACAGTATTTGTTTAAGCACAGGGAACAAGTCTACTGTCAGGAAAAGCCTTTTCAACAACTGGTAACATCTATATAGGCTTGCTTACCAGTACTTTTCTGGGAAGTTGGGGAGAGCTTCTCAAAAGTTACATGTTTCACATTCCCACCGCAAGCAGTACTGGCATCTTTGTTTCTCTTCTCTATTTTTGCATTTTGCGTCTTTTCATCATTGTTCAGTTTCTGCATTGGCTTTGCTTTTGTAGGACTTACTGAGACATATTTACTAGATTGCTTGGCAGGTTTTAAGTTGCTGAGTAACAGAGTATTTCCTGTACTTCTCTCCATCAAATCATTACATGGTTCAGGAACATTTGTTATTTGATTTACTGTTTCTGTGTCTCCCCTAATACAGCATCTACTAGTGAGATCATTCGTCTGGTAAGTATGCAGACTTTTCTGTGCCACTTCCATTTTTGCTCCTAAAGGAATTGCACACATCTGTGCTTCACTTCCAGTAGGTGAGGTTTGGGTATCAAGCGTATCTGATCCAAGATCAGCATTCACTGACTGTAGATGTTTACTGTTTACTAAATCTGACAACTTTTCTGTATATTTAACACTATTTGCCGTTACATGTTCATGGTTGGGAACACCAGACAGATTAGTGAAATTCTGAGTATTGTTTTCTTCATTAAAATAATCCAGAAATTGCTTCTCTATTTCTTGCTGCTTGCCATGATTATTTGTAAACTCTTCTGCAAGAGTATCTTTATTTTTATCTTTACCCAGTAAAAAGGTATCAGGCATAAGGTTCTGGACGGATGCTTCATGTTTCACAATACTCTCATATTCACTTTCATGTCCAATCTCATCTGTTTTTTTGAGGTATTTTTCCATATCAAATGCACTATTTTCCACATTGCTGGATAATACCTGATTAGCAGACAGTTCCATCTCTTTAGCAATGCCAGGAAGGAAACATGTTCTTTTACTTTTATTAGAGAGTGCCATCATCATAGCAGCTAGCTGGGAAGGATCATCACTGGAGGAAGCATTAGCAATAGCAGATGCAATCGTGCTAATACTCCGGACAGAGTCAGAATGATTAGATAAGCCGTCTTCAAACTTTTCCGTCTGAATTTCATCCTACAAAAAACCAAAAGGAGCTAAGCACCAAATCAAGAAATTTTTGTTTAGTGTTTGTTTTGTGTGTTTTGTTTGCTTTATTTTGCATTTCAGTGTATGGTAATATAGTAACATTTCTAGTTGTCACATTTTTAATTGCTTCTCAAGGAGGAACACTGCATTGCCATAATTCTCACTGCACTGATGTTTTAAAGTCTACTCCACAGGTGGTTTTTTTTAAATATTAAATAAAGATTGCCTGCTAGGAAGCCTTAGTTCCTGTAAAACTTTACAAATCCTAAAATGTTTTAATTCACTTGAAAGAACTGGTAGTAAAATCCTATTGGGAACAAACAGCAGAGAAGAAGTTACCATGACCAAACACAGCGTATCTTTCCGATTAATTTTAAATCATCTGCCTCTCTACAAGGCAGAAAGCTATTTCTACAGTTTTCTCTAACACAGGTCTGATTTCTTCTTTAGTTTTCACGCTGGCTATTCTTAGAAAAGGGCATGGAATAACTAGACAGTCATGTCCAGACCACAATCTCTTCCCACCTCTCAAATACATGTACATTCAGGAAGAATAAAAAATATCTGTCCTCCTGTAGATATGCATGTATGTCTTCATCAGTCTTTTTATGAAGCTGTTGTGAAGTATGGAGCAGAGAAGTAGACCATGACTGAACTGAAAACTGGCTGAACTGCCAGGGTCAAAGAGTTGTGATCAGTAGCACGAAGTCCAGCAAGAGGCCTGCCACTCACTACTGGAGTACCCCAGGGATCAAGATGAGGGACAGTCCTGTTCAACATCTTCATTAATGACGTGGATGATGGGGCAGAGTGCATCCTCAGCAAGTTCAATCACTATACAAAATTGGGAGGTGTGGCTGATACACCAGGAAAGTGAGCTGTCATTCAGAGGGATATCGACAGGCCAGAAAAATGGGCTGAGAAGAATCTCATGAAGTTCAAAGGGAAATGTCAAGATCAGCACCTGGGGCGGAATAACCCCATGCACCTATACAGGCTGGGAACTGACCAGCTAGAAAGTAGCTTGGCAGAAAAGGACTTGGGAGCCCTGGTAGACATAAAGTTGACCATGAACGTTGCCCCACCAAGGGCACCGATGTGCCCTCGTGGCAAAGGCTGCCAACACCATCCTGGGCTGCAGCAAGAAAGAGTAGCCAGCAGGCATTGGGAGGTGATCCTTCCCCTTTACTCAGCACTGGTGCAACCACATCTGGAGTGCTGTGTCCAGTTATGGACTCCCCAGTAGAAGAGAGACATGGACATAATGGAAGGTGTCTGGTGAAGGGCCACAAAAAGGAGTAAGAGCTTGGAGCATCTGTCATATGAGAAGAGAGCTGGAATTGTTTAGCCTCAAGACAACAAGACTCAGGAGGAAATCTTATCAATGTGTATAAATACCTGATGGGGAGAGGAATGGGGTGGAGAGAAGTAAAGAAGATGGACCCAGACTCTTCTCTGAGGTATCCAGTAAGAAGAAAGGAGGCAATGGGCACACTTTTAAATGTGTTTAAATGGAATTTCCTGTAAGGAGAAGATATTCAAAATGTGACTGGACTTTGATCAACCTGTTCTATTTGACTTGGCTTTGAGCAAGAAGGGATGGACTAGATGATCTCCAGGAGTACCTTCTGACCTCAACCATTCTGTGATTTGCCTGTGCTTGAGAACATTTTACCACCTGGATCAGACTGAGGGTGACCTAAACTTGTACAAATTGAGGGTAGGGCAGATTAGAATCCAGATATGCATTACCAAAACCCCAAATTACTCATTTTGTTTCTAGAACAATAGGGATAAGGATAAATAAGAAAGAAAAGCAGTTATGGCAGTACATAGTCAGATGAGCAATGCAACCAGCCCTTCTGCATTTAAGTCTGCAGCTTTCATCATTTTATCTGCTAAACGAAGTCAAACTTGCTAGCTACTGATTCCTTTCAGTGACCATGTAGGAGAAGGGCTGCCTCTGTAACTGAATGGGCCTGGATGTGTTCTGCCTGATCAGAAAAAGAACATGACACATTAAGGCAGAGAAGGTAGGTGTCTAGTATCACCAAATTGAAAATACACCTTTTTCAGACTTACACCATCTTGATATTCTTGAATTTTACCAAGTAAAAGACTTTATTCAGATGCTAAAGACAAATTGTTTCATTAAAAAAAAAAAACACAGAAGGGGAAGACATAGCTGAAATTCAGAAACTTGATCGCAGAACAGCAATTGCTTAGGAATCGCTGAAAAACTATGGGCTGACAGACCAAGCAACTCCAAAAGTAAAGTAGGGAGAAAAAGGAATATGAGATGAAGATAGTAACACCTGTCTCACTACAGGATCATGGCATTCTAATGAAACTATCCTAACAAACAGTGGCACCTGCTAGGATTCAAATGATCAATATAAAAAGCAGTAAGCTGATATGAAAGTCCAAATTTAGCCATATTCAAAGGATCAATAATAACTGGAGTTATTTGAATTTTGTTCAAGTTCATAGTTGCACTTAATAGAAAAATACAAGAGAAATACCTTTGCTTTACTTTTGGTAGCAGCTTCTGTATTAATGCTTTTATGTATTCCAGCTGAAGTATCCATCCTATGCCATGCATCTTCACAGCTAGTATAATTTGCATGTTCTTTTGTTTGTGCTTCTAAGTCATCTAAGAAGAAAGAAAAAGACAGAGAAATAATTTACAGTAAGTAAATGGTCTAAACACCTGAATTCTTGGAATACACATGCTCCCTTAGAAAAAAAGAGCTGTTGTAATGGCACAAATGCAAATACTGCAAGCATCAATTGTTTCCTGTAGAGTACTCAAAGTTTACATTCAAGTCACAACATTAGCTGGCGTTATGAATACCATGCTCACACTCTTCAAATGTTATTTTCATGTAGCTTATCATATTAGCATAAGCTAAACAAACCTTTTCAGAAAATGGTGTTTGCAAGATGATATGAACATAGACCAAACTCCAGTAGAAAACTAGAAGAGTTAAATCTGAATAGAGCCAATTTTCATATGCTGGAGACACGGTTTGACTAAGGTAGATAGCAGTAAACTGGTGATTTTGAAGAATTATGTTTAGCAGGGATAGGTATGTTTCTGAAACCATCAAAACCATGAATAATCCTGATTAGAAGAGCAAACCCAAACTAGGAGGTATTGTTCATATGAGATCTAGAGGCTACCTTTTCAACAAATGAGTTCCTGCTTGAAGGAAAACATCTGGACTCCCTAGAACACTAAAACCAACATTTAAAGATGCTCTGACCAGTGAGAAAACAACAAACATCTTTGGGATTTGTGGGTGGCGTCTTTTTTTTTGTTTGGTGGTTTTGGGGGATTTTTTGGGGGTTTTTTTTTGGGCAGGGGTGTTGGGGGTTTTTTTTTTTTTCTTTGTTTCTTATTTTGTTTGGTTAGTTTTTTGCATTTTTTTTTTTCCCTTTTACTTTTGTTCTTATCTGCTGCTACTTAAGCAGGAATTGCATACTGGTATTCCTGATAAAGATTATTATTGCCAGTACTACTGAAAATCAGATGGCAGTAATTATTAACATCTTGGCCACAAAGTGACTCAAATACCTACTTTCTCTAGCATTTATAGCAACCCTCATATCAAAAGAGCTACAGGGCACATTTGGGTATTTTTCTATTATTCAAAGCAACAATTATAAACTGTAATTTAATTAAACAGATGTCATGAACTCCTGGTATTTTTTGACAAAAATCCAGACTACTGAATAGTGAATTTAAGCATGCTAACACTAGATTTAAAAAAAAACAATAATCATTAGAGACCCTTTACAAATATTTGCAAGGTCCCAGTCTGAGGAAAATTACAGCTGTAAAGCTGTTTCAAGGAAGTGGGCCCCATAAAAGCCTGATGGATATTTTTCACCAATGCAAAAAAGTATTTAGGTCACCGCACTGACTGTACAAGCAGGTTCACAAAGTTCTACCAAGAGCGGTAGAGATGCTTTAAAATGCACTCATCCTTTCCTAAACATACCTTATTAAGTTGATAGGCATATATATATGCACCAAAATGTGTGCTGTGATCTTTATATATAAAATTTTGGAAGAATCTCCTAAATTACTACGTTAAGTTAAGCAGATATCATGGGAGTATAACTGTTGTTGTTTTTTTTCAAAGATGGTAGGAAAAAACGTAGACTATGTTTTACGCACACACTGTCAACTCAGCTATAACCTGAATTTTTTTCCTTCCTTCCCTATATCCTCTATACCTATATGAGCAAACAGCCCAATTTCCTGAGATTTTGTTGGTTGGTTGGTTGTTTTTTGACAACACATTTATACAGCTTTTTCAACAGGAAAACTCTGAACAGACTTTCATTATTACAAAACATTCTGGTAGTTATCCAGTATCTGGAAATGCTGAAATATCCAAGAAAATTTAGGGAAGTACTTAATATTAGACTGTTCTCTCCTTTAAGTGTTTAGGTTCAGTGCTTTTCTAGGGGAAGGGATGGTAGGGGAGGTGCTCAGAGCTAAAAAGATATTTGGTGAATGAAAACTAGAGTCTTTCTATCACGGATTACTCTTAATAGTCTTTAATAGCTATATACAAGTAATTCTTAACTACTGTTATAACCACTGTCTAGGGCTGACCCTTCTGTTCTGTAATTACCTGGAAACACCTCAGACAACTGCGAAATCTCTTGGCCGGTGTCACCTCCTGATGAATCAGATTGCCTTAGCAAAGCAACAGGTTGCCTTTTCTTCGGAGATGTAATATAGTAACCGAAAGATGGCTATAAAAAAAAAAATTACCCCGGAATACAGCATGAGTAAATTTAATCATTAATAAATAAGTTCAGTGGACTTGCAAAGCAGTTTCAGCCACAGTGCCTCCCCAGTTGGTGTTTGGCTCTCATACCACTGAGAAATAACATATACCTCCTAGCATTGCAAATGCCTAATCCAAATACATACACTTCCAATATATATATAACATAAACTAACAACTTATTTACACCAGTTAGACAAAAGAAAGTACGTATGCTCTCATCATTTCTGCTCGGAGGCATGCTCTGCTGCTCAGCCTCTGCATGCACCAGAACTGAACATGCCAACTCTACCAACTCACCAGGACACAACTGAATTACACAAGCATATTTGACTTCTTCCTCCCTTTGTACAAACTTCCCTGCTTTTTGCTTTTTTGTCTCCAACACAGATGAGATACTGTCTACCAACAGCAGGTAAGAGAAGAGATAAGTATCAGATGCAAGAAGCATACAGAAGTATGTTGGTAAGTTAAGAGTCTAGATGACTACATTTTTCCTTAAGTTGGGCATTTGCTTAGATAGCACATCAACTATCAACAGACACTGTTCAAATACCCCTGTCTGAGCAGCATTTCATTCAACTATGTGAATCATTTGCCTGGACCTTCAACGTGCACCCCATATATGGTATACTTTTCTCTCTCTAATCCTACACGTAATTAGTTCCTGACCAAAAAGTGAAGATCAAGATTCATCGGTAACACCAGCCAGTCCTCCACATCAGAAATTCCAAGTGGGAAAGAAAAGCCAAACCAGACCTGTCATGCATGGAGAACTTTTTTCACATGTGAACTTAGAAAAAAAGTAGTTCTCACAGAATTAGTTACAATATAAAAACACAAAAGTAGTGCTAGCTCTTGTTGTTCTTGTCCTTTCCTTGTGTCTTAATTAGTAACATTAAGATACATACCCTTTTCACATCACTGCCTCCACCAAGACAACCAAGAGCTTCAGATCTCTGACCAAAGAATTCCCCCAAAGACAAACGTAAATAACTGGCATCTTTATCAAGATCAGATGTTTTCAACAGAATGCAGCTATTGGCAGATTTCCATGAAGTATCTGCTAATTCAGATGCACTTAGAATGTCTACTTTTTCTGCCTGCAGACAAAGAGATTTCAGAAGTTGTAACTTGCAAATAAATTAGAGAACTATTCTGCTTACATTGAGATAATTAGTTACCTGCACAAGTTTGTGTGCTTTCTCAAATTCTTCCTGATCTTGTGCAATCATAGCTGCTGCTTCAGCTTAAAAGCAAAGAGCATATTTATTAAAATAAGGCACAAGTTATGAAGTGCTGTCATTACTATTTTGCATGATTATGAAGGACAGCTATTGCAATATTTAATTGTACATCTGAGACAGTTTGGGACACACTAGGAGTTATTCCATCAGGTTACAGTGAGAAAAGTTCATATGAAATTAATTTTTAAAGACTATTCCCTGGATCTTTAAGAGCCAAAGTAAAATCAGCATTTAGCTAATTAAGTTAGTGGTAAATATAGAAAGTCTCTTAAGGCCTTAAGCCCAAACCAAACTATAACTTTTCATAGATTATGCTACCCATACTAGCTAGAATTGAGCATCATATGGCTACTTCCAAACAAACTTTTACTACATTTGGTTTTGAAAATTTCATCAAGGTGGTACCTATGAATTGGAGCAGAAGAAACAGAACGGTTTGTACCAGTTCGTTAATTAATTAACTGTGCAAATTAACAGACCAAATGAATCAATACTTCTTTTGAATTCAAATGCTTGTATTATTTTCACAATTACCATTTACAGAACAATGAACACTTCAAGTCTCTTCACCAAAATGATGTGAAAAATTGCTGATCAAGAGATAGTGGTCTACCACCTTATTTCAAGGCTAATGTATCATCACCAAAGCCCATCAAAACTTAGGAAATAGGTAACCTTGTACACACAGCATCCTTAGTCATAGAGGACACAGGGCAAATGGAGGAATAAATCCAGAATGGACACAAACTTGTAAAGTGAATACAGTTGCTGTTCATAAAGTTACTTATGGGACATCACAAAACATACTCTGAGGAAAGAAACAAAGTTGGAATACATCTTTATTGGCAATCCAAATGTATTTCCTAAAGGCAACCTAGCACTATCAGCGACACATTGTTATATCCAGTTGAACTCTATCTCAATATCAGTTCTTCCTTAATCCTCAGTATAAGCCATACAGCTCTCTAAAGACTTCCTGAAGCACTAAACTCTGTCAAGTGACCAATCCTGCACTATTCTATACAATAATACACAGTGTGCACAGTTTGCTGATAGAGACAGACACGTCATAAATGAGACTTCAGAAGCATCAGATGTAACATTTCCTTTCTGTCCCTAAAAATAAAATATTTCAGCTGTCAAGCATCACACTTGAGTGCTGCAGACAGACAGAAAAATGCTAACCACGTTAAATATGTAATCTTCTATCACGTGAACAGGTAATCCAAATGTATTTCCTAAAGGCAACCTAGCACTATCAGCGACACATTGTTATATCCAGTTGAACTCTATCTCAATATCAGTTCTTCCTTAATCCTCAGTATAAGCCATACAGCTCTCTAAAGACTTCCTGAAGCACTAAACTCTGTCAAGTGACCAATCCTGCACTATTCTATACAATAATACACAGTGTGCACAGTTTGCTGATAGAGACAGACACGTCATAAATGAGACTTCAGAAGCATCAGATGTAACATTTCCTTTCTGTCCCTAAAAATAAAATATTTCAGCTGTCAAGCATCACACTTGAGTGCTGCAGACAGACAGAAAAATGCTAACCACGTTAAATATGTAATCTTCTATCACGTGAACAGGTAAGCCAATTAGCTCAAAAACAGAATTCCTTTTAAAACCCATCAGGTAGGAAAAAGCTAAACAGCCTGAGTCTGAGATGCAGGTAAGTGTCTGAAATATCCTGGCATTTGAAAAATAATGAAGGAACCCTGCTTTACTGACACGGTAGATAGGGAAGTTTCTACCAAATTGGATGTTCTTTGCTTGCTCCAGCAGAAAACCACTACAGTGTTGAAAAACATTATTTCAACCAATCAACACTGTTTGATCACTCATTCAAGATAAATAATTCTAGATGGCAACATATACAGCATTCTCTCTGAAAGAAAGAGGAACCTTAAGTGAACTGTGGACATCTTTAGAGTACATTAGCCCAGCCATACGTCAACTTTAGAAACTAGAAGAGATTAGAAGAAATATTGTTGCACACATTGCTTGAATCTGTATAGTAAAACAGATGACCAGATGACATTTTTGTGCAAAGGAATTGATTTATCTACAGTATTACGCACATATTATCCAAGCCTGTACGACAAACATACAGATTCTCATGAAGATCAGTCTAAGACAGCTTAAGGAAAAGGTTCAGAAAGCCTGGAATTTGTTAGAATACGAGAGTTCAGTAAGGCCCCTCAGTAAGCTCCAACATTTTGTAGTACCATTTTTCAGCATCAAGACATTCCTAAGAGGTTTACAAAAAAAACACCAACTACTGAATTCAGCAGCTCTTTCCACATTCTAGTTCATTTTGTAGTAACTTCTCCTTTACAATGATTTCCTGTCTTCAACCATCATGCAAACTATTGGTTCCTCTTCTTGAAAGAAAGGATAACAATAATTAAGGTCCAAAGGAAAAACTGCAGAAGTGACAACTACAGGAGTTACTTTTGCTCATACAATAGGTACCAGTGACACATGTTAGAATGCTTTTTGAAACAAAACAAAAGACTCTGGGAAGAGTAGGAAATGTGGGAAGAAGCTATAAACTATTAACTGATCATAATATCATTATAGGCTACTATCAACATTAGCTTTTGAATAATTTGTTGTATATAAAGCCTGGAGGCTCTGCAACACCAAATACTGATCTGTTGAAGTGGAAAAAAAACCAAAGGAAAACACACTATTACAGAAAACAACAGCTAACTAAAAAGGAAAAAGATTACATACATCCAGTTATGAACTCCTCATTTATTTTATCATCTTCAGACAGATTTAAATCTTGTTCTTCATCAAAGGAAGTATAATATGCAAGATCAGTTACCCATTTGCCCTCTTCATTTTGATAGACAATGCTGTGTGGTAAATCACCTGAAAGATATATCAAATGCTACACTGTTGATTAAAATAAAAAGGAATATGACAAAGTCTCTTAAGTTTAGATTAAGGAGCTCACTTGCCAGAAGTCAGCAGCAAGTTAAAAAAAAAAACATAGCTCAAGTTTTTTTTGCTGCAACTGCAAGCTTAAACTAGTTTCATCATCAAATAAAAAAGTTAAGGGCAATATACAGCAGTCAGTATTTTTTAAAACAAAACCAAGTGAAAATTTATTCATGCTACATTGGTTTTTATTACAAACTTGCATACCTAAAGAAAAATGTACAGCTGACAATTTTATTTCTTTTTACATGCAATATGGAGTCTGGTCACAATTGTATAGACGGGTTATATCCAAAGCAACCTACCTTTGTCTGTTGTAGTTAAACTTATGTTCTCACAGCTGTCTGTCGTTGGAGACAGGTAAGTATCAGCAAGACCGACTTCGCATTCTGTTGCATCTGTTTGAGGTATATTTGCACTAAGAAGAACTTGAGGAGTGGTGTAGTGCTCAAAAAATCCTCTTGCTGTGTGTAGTACTTCTGCATCAGAAGTGGTAACATGACACTCTGAGGACTCTATTTCTTGCTTTGGAAGAACATCTGAGACATCAGCTTTATGGCTGCCGATGCGCTGAAGATACAGTGAATCTAATCGCAACTCAGCAGCACTGCAGGAATCTAGCACATGTCCAGTACTCATGGAACTCTGAGAACACAATAATCATTTAAAAAGTGTCAGAAGCGCAGTTGTTAACTGTTTGTGCTAATAGTTTTATGTACAAAATGGTACAAGTTAACTATGTTTGAAAAATACATCTAAAAACAAAGTGGTGTTAATATTATTTTTTGTAAAGAAAGGCTTGGTTGTTAGTTCAACCTCTAACAACTTTTCAAATGCACTGCCATCTTCTACCACAGTCTTACTCTATATGATAAAGAGAAATTTAAATGACAATTTCATACCAGTTGCTGAACTGCTCTGGGCAGCATTTCTCTTTGCACAGGACATCCAGTTATCCCTTGATTTTGTGGATCTTCGTCACTAGCATTTCCAGAGTCTACTCCTGTTACAGCCTGGTAAGTGTCAGGAACCTGAAAGTTCTCCTTCTAAAAAAAAAAAAATTAAGACTTAAGTTACACTAGAACAGATATATGAAAGAAAAAAAACAACATTACAGTTGTTTTTACAATGTTAAAAAATTCTCTAGTAAAGAGATTAGCACACATTGTTTGCTCATGTGCCACTGCCAGAAGCATCTCTAGCTGCTACCACCACCACCAAGGACAATAGTTCCTGGCCATGCCAATCCATGCATCTGCCTCCAAGGGCATATACAGCAAGAAGATGGAGGATCCCATCTTATTATCTTAACTTTTATTGATGACCTGAATGAGGGGATCGAGTGCTCCCTCAGTAAGTTTGCAGATGACATCAAGTTGGGTGGGAGTGCTGATCTGCTGGAGGGTAGGAGGGCTCTGCAGAGGGATCTGGACAGGCTGGATCAATGGGCCAAGGCCAACTGGATTACGTTCAACAAGGCCAAGTGCCAGGTCCGGCACGTGTCACAAAAAACCCCATGCAACGCTACAGGCTTGGAGAGGAGTGGCTGGAGAGCTGCCCGGCGGAAAAAGACCTGGGAGTGTTGGTCAACAGCTAGCTGAATATAAGCTGAAACTGTGCCCAGGTGGCCAAGAAGGCCAACAGCATCCTGGCCTGTATCAGAAATAGTATGGCCAGCGGGAGTAGGGAAGTGATTGTGCCGCTGTACTTGGCACTGGTGAGGCTGCACCTCAAATACTGTGTTCAGTTTTGGGTCTCTCACTACAAGCAGGACAGTGAGGTGCTGGAGCATGTCCAAAGAAGGGCAGTGAAGCTGGTGAGGGGTCTGGAGCACAAGTCTTATGAGGAGCGGCTGAGGGAACTGGGGTTGTTCAGTCTGGAGAAGAGGAGGCTGAGGGGAGACCTTATTGCTCTCTGCAACTACCTGAAAGGTGGTTGTGGCAACGTGGGTGTTGGCCTCTTCTCCCAAATAACTAGCGATAGGACAAGAGGAAATGGCCTCAAGTTGCACCAGGGGAGGTTTAGATTGGATATTAGGAAAAATTTCTTCACCGAGAGAGTGGTCAAGCATTGGAACAGGCTGCCCAGGGAGGTGGTGGAGTCACCATCACCATTCAAAAAACGTGTGGACATGGCGCTTCAGGACATGGTTTAGGGGGCATGGTGGTGTTAGGTTAATGGTTGGACTTTATGATCCTGAAGGTCTTTTCCAACCTTAATGATTCTGTGATTATTCCTACTACATCCTTTCATTCCCTTTAACATCATGCTACTCCTCTTGCCCTTCTGGTTGACCCACTGCTGGATGAGGACTCCAAATCCAACTCAAAACCTGCTGTACCTACTCCACTGCCTATCTACAATGACAGTGAAGCAGGAACATCTTACGCAAATAGAGAAGACCTGAGGTCAGAGACCAGAGCTGTGTTATTCTCATTCTTCAAAGAACCACCTACCACTTTTTTCACGTACAGCCATAAATCAGCAACTGGAAGCCTATGCAAGACTGCGTTTATGGGGTTAACATATCACTTTCTACAGCCTGGAAACTCTGATGTCAGCTGGGAAATTTCTGAAATTTCAGAAGCTACAGTTCATTTAACTGTTTAAATCAATCACACTTTCCCATTCTGGTCAAGCATGCAACTGCCAGGATCACATCCATTGTTTCAAAGCCAAGAAAATGGAAAGGCACTTAACCCCCAGCAATCTCTTTATAATGGAGTTAATTGCTGCTCAAAGGCAAATCACAAGCCAGCCAGTTGCTGCTCTACGCTTACCTTTCACACACGGACCAATTATTTTAAGAGACTTATTTACTCTCCTGGAAAAATGAGCCTCTGTGATGCTATACACTTAATAAAACCTTGGACATTGCTATCGAAGATAATAAACCAGTGATCAAAAAGATTTTATAAACTAGTTGTATGAATAGAGAAGTTCCAGCATGTTATCTCAATAGTTGTAGAAACAAAAAATAGAACAGAATCAGTTACAGTTAAAATTGTAACTCTAAATAAGAATAGCAACAAGTTAAAGTACTCTTAATTTGTCACAGAACCATCAGATTAAAATTAAGCAATTCCTACAAAGACAATAAGCCCATCTCCTGGATATTACAAGTAAGTCATAAGCGAGAACAACAGATGGCCTTAGTTTCAGTTTAGCTGACCAGCTTGCTGGGGCTGGAGGGGACAGGGTAAAGCAAGCATTTTATGGGTATTAGCTTTTTTATGGAGATTCATCTTTCATCAAAAATTCTTTGTATTCAGAAGCTGGTAATCAAAATTAAAATAATGCCATCACAAGACAATGGTATCAGTAGAAGCTTCTGCTTAGTTACCAATGATCTAATTTCCCTTAGTGGACTTAAGAGGAGCCTTTACAGGATTTCTCTGAGGACAAGTCTCCATCATCCCAGAGAAGGGGCAGAAATCCAGTCTTAGGAGTTTGGGGTTTTGAGGGGTTTTTTTTTTTCCTCTTTGCAAGATCAAGTAACAGAATTGACTGCACAAGGTTCTCTACCAGAGCTGCTTATCAGGAGAAAAAGAGAAGGTTATGCACAGGACAATGAGAAGCGTGAGGAGCAGGGTTAGACAGGGGTGGGAAACTTGAACGGAGACTTGAATAAAGATGACACCGTAATAGGAAACTCTTCCACTTCGCTGCAAGCCTTCCTGACTAACGCCTCTTGGGACAGGCAGCTACTTACCTAATTCCACCTTATCTCATAAACAGCAAGACCTTCTCTAACAAGCAGATGAATCAGCTACTAGCTCTACACTACAAGGAAGAAGAAAATAAATACAAAAGTAGCTAGCTAGCTTCTTTCCTTCCCCCCCGCCACCCCCAGGAAAACCTTGCAGAGGGAACAGAAGAAGTCAGAAGCTCACTCAAACAGCTTTGTTTCTAGTTTTGAGCTGTATTTGCTATCTTTAAATTTAAAAAGAATCCTCTGCTGTACAAGCTACCTGTTGGACAGTATTTGAGTTTGTCAGGAAAGAAATAAAACCTAGTTCACCCTTGCAGACAACACTCAATGATGCTAACACGTTTAAGAGCCATTTGGTACACTGAGCCTTGAACTTTACTTTAAACCTACTTGAAGTGAGCCATCTTCAGAAAGCTTCAGCGCTGTACAGCATTCTGAGAGTTTCTGTATGTCAGTGTCTCCTCTTATCATTTCTGGTTGTATCAGCTGCTCAAAATAGGCTTCTAGTCGGTTATCAAAGAACTCTTCATCATCGATATCATCATCTATTGAAAGAGAAGAAAATATCCTATTCAAGTTTCATGGATATTTTAAATCACCTGACATACTATCAAAGCAACTCCATAATTTTTAATACACTGAGTCTCACAACACATTCACACAGTCAGAACAGAATTATCCTGGTTTTCCCTTAAGATAACTGGGTCACAAAAACATTTAATTGTCTTACTCCATGACAAGGGATACACAGCAAAACAAGATGACTACAAGCTAGCATTTTAACTCCCAGACTATCAAGTGACTCATCTTCCTCCACGTGATCTATGTACCACCACAGTCCAACTAGCAAATCATATACATAAATTAAAGCATAGTAACATTTTTCAAACTTCACAGAAAGTGATTGAAGCATAGTTCTATATTTCAATGGCAAAAAATGTTAAGTGCTATTACTATGACCAGTACTATTCCTATTTGCCAAGTGAGAAGTTTTCCAAGACACAATTTTTCTTGTTTTGGGGATGTTTTTCTAATTTGTGGGGGCTGGGGCGAGAGGGGAGTTTCCAAGGCTTTTATTTGTTTGTTTGTTTTTAAAAGACCCAGTCAGCTTTTTAGGACACAGTTAAATGCAGTCTTAAAACCATTGTAAAACATATTTCAAGAAGAAGTTTGACATCTTCACTTTTTATTCTTTCATTCCTAGGAAAAAGTATCCTGTTTGTGTTTTTCCTTATAAAAAAAACAGTATACTCAAATAGGACATGCATTTATAAACTCACAACTGTATTTTGTTTTCCACATAATTAAAGAATGTTCATTTTCAGGTTGATGGTGATGGTTTAAGAATTCTCCATCAATTTTGCCTCTAAGTATTATTTCAGCTCTTCATCACAAAAAGGTAATTCTGAAAAATCTTCTCAGTATTTCCTTCTGCCAAAGAGGTTTACACAATGCCAAGATTGTATAGGAAAAAAAGTACATATATACATACACAGGTGACACACAGAGTCGTCACTGCTTTTGCATTCCTGGTCTTGCCAGTGCCCTGTACAAAGAAGCTGATTTACAGAAGCACAGTCTTTGAACAAAATGAGTTTTAGTTGAATTGGAAGCTATGGATGCTCGGCAACTTTGATATTACAACACCACAATCAGTATGTTATATTTTAGAGTCTACAAATGAAAAAGCTGAACCATGGCTCTGTTTTCATGTATGATACTGGAGAATGTAGAGGGATTACAGCAGGCTAAGTTTCTTCGATTTTTCAAAGAGGACTAATACCTAACCTCAGCACAAACATCCACAGGATGTTTTAAAAAATATAGAAGGATTAGTTAGTTACCTGAATAGTAGACAAATACCTACCACTCAAACTCAAATTAACAACAACATGATAATTGTTTTCATTTATCTATGCCTTGATTTCTTTGTGACACTGAAATAATAATCTGCTATCTTCGAAATAAAGAGGAAAAAAAGATGAATGCATTTTATCTCAGATACCAGAGACTTCCTCCTTATTTTTACAAATACTCAGCTGCCAAATTTACACCAAATACAGAATTGCATGACAAAAATTAGTAAATTACACAATGACCAGGAAAAATAGAAAGATCAGTTAGTTTCACCAGACTGGAACCCTGAATAGGCAAGTATTTCCAGCTAACAACTACCAACTCCTTTGGAGAGCAGTTAAAAGTAATTCCATCCCCTTGGGTAGAAAAAAACCCAGTATTTTTACTCAGCAAACTATTAACTGCATTTTTATACACCTAATACACAAGTAAAGTTATGCAACAAGAACAAGACAACTTCAAAAGACAGTCACGACATCTCTAGATGCCATGGGAAAAATCCAGTAGACCTACTTGAATGCAGGGCTGCTTGATCTCAAGATGGCAGTAAACCTATTTATCATTCTGCCTTGCCCATTCTTGGTGCACCTAAGGACATACCCTGTCATCTTTCACGTTATGTGCAAAGTCAACTGGATTAATAAAGAAGGGCATGTTTGTCTGCCCACGGCAGCCACTGGAAGGGCACACAGATTTCAAAACTCTTGCTTAGTAATACAGAACTCAAGCTCTCACTTTTATTCCTGTGGGTAAACTAGACTTCCAACTTGGGTGTCACCCTGCATGTGTGGCATCTAAAGAGAACTGAACTGAAATTCAAGTAAAAGTTAATTCTAACTGCATGTACACAGTCTTCATCATAGAAGTTTATTAAACTAAACTGAAACTGTAGCGAGGGTTACCACTTTATTAAATGAATGTCGCCATTTCTACCTGTATTTTTGATTCACAGTAACTGAGGACTGTTGTTTAATTTTTTAGATTAAACTTCCAATTGTGATCTCCTCTGAGAAATTCCATAGCCACCTACTCCTATTACAACTTTAAAATACAGTTTCCCAATGAACACAGTTTTCTTTAATATTCCTAATACTAGTTTTTGATCAAGCATAATCCTGTATTAAATACTTCAGTAAAACAATACCTTTCTTCTCAAGTACGCAGTAACATTGAGTCAGAATTCCAGACTCAACTACCCACAGTTATAAATACACTTACCAGTGGCATCTTCTTCTGAGCTTGCAAGAGATGAAAGTTTCTCATTTTCCAAAAAACTTGAAAGGCTATTGCTAAGATGATCACTTGACATTTCACCTTCCATCAGCTTTTCAGAAGGTTCAGGTGGATCAACCTGTGAAAAACACCCATATAGAAATGTTTCTAGGAGTTACTAGCTGTTGTATAAATTCAGTTAATAATAAACAATTAATGAGGTTAATAATATTCCAAAACTGCCTCCCCTTTTCCCCTACTTATTCCAGAAAACATTCTAGTTCCAATGGACTTTGCCTGTTAGCTTCCAGAATGGATACATGCAAGAAATACAGGGATCATAAAGGGGAAAGAGGGAAAAAGCATCTGAATGACACCAAACTTAAAAGACCATACCAAACCATTGCATTAAAGAGTTTACACTTGAAAAAACTGTCCCCCCATCCACTAAGCTGCAATCCCAGCTTAAAAGTAAAGACAAGTCTCAATAGTTTCCTATGCTGTGAAAACAGTGCTTCCTCAGAAATAGTACACCAGATCAACTCTGTGTGGATAATTTCTTCAAATGGGCATACTAAATTACTTACAAAGTAGTATTTCAGCTAAATCTAGCTAACTGTAAATACTGTATCTTGTATATACCTGAATGATTTTTAAAAATAGCACAATGTAATGTCTGTTTTGGATTTAGTCTCACATTCTTTGTGATAAACAAATCATCTTTCGCAGACAGCAAAAAAGTCAAAGTTCAGAAAGTAAAGAGTTTGAAAGGAACTTGAATTATGGTTTTCAGATGGCAGCCTGTGAGCATTCCACTGCAAGTCACTGACCACTGTGGCCCCTAGAAAAATCAAATGAAAGAAAACTAAATCCATTTGGTAAATACTAGCTGGCACATTAAGGAGCACATACTGCATCTGGCTGCAGCCTGAGGTGTATTTTCTATAAGGGCCACAAGATCTCCCATTCCTGTCTGCCTTGTATCTCTGTGCCCATAACTGTCAGCTTCTCTAAAACAGTAGATAAAAACAGCTGAAGCATAACCCTACCTGTCAATACCTGCAGCTATGATGCTAGCACTGGGATAGAGACACACACACACAAAAAACATATACACAAAGGCAGCAGGAAAATTTGTGTTCTTACAAATGGTGCAGTTTTTAATTTTGCGGACACTGAAGTCATCTGAACTAATACTCCTCAAAGTAATTAATAAGTACAGGGGCAAGTCAAACCAGGTTGATATTGTCTACTTCAATTTCCAAAAGAATTCCAGAACGTTCCTCAAAAGGCTTTCCACTAAGCTAAAGTACAATTTGGATAAAATTTAAGGTCTTTACATGGATGAAGAACTATGAGACAGCAGAGGATAGGACTAAACAATTTTTCACAATTGAGAAAGATTAGCTGAAGTCATGCCCGCGTAGTACTAATTACATTAAGGGATCTGAAAAAGGGAGGCAAAGTGAGGCATGATACATTCAGCGTGTTAGCACTGTTACAAACTTAAGGGATACACGACGTAAGACAATAAACACAGTTCAATTCCCTCCCTCCTCTTCTTGCAGAATTAAGTCTAGTACAAGTTTAATATTAGAAAAAAATTAATTTCACTGTATTTAGAAAAGGTTTCACCTTGTTATTCTTACTGTCTGGAAGAAAACATATTCCAGTTGACAAATCTGGAAAAGAATGTAGTGTAATCAGTAATTTGTTATGTTCTTATGTTAAACTACTAAGTGCTAACTGTTCTGTAAGATAGCAGACCAAGCCTCTTGAAGGTCTTGGCATACACCATAAAAATAACACTGAAACACACACTTTACCACCATACCAAAGCTCGTATGTTCTTATAACAATGATGAAAAGTATCCGGGAGTAATTAAAAAGGCAGGGCTTCATCAGGGATAAAACTGTAAAAATTATGAAAGACAATTATTGCCTTAAGGATTTCTATACGGCAGTGCAAAAAATTAAGGAGCCCCAGGTTGCACTAGCAGAAGTAAGAACGAGTGTTCTGTCCCACTATTGCATTTCACCTATTGGACCAATTCTTTTTTTGGATCACTTGTAAGCAGCTTCCACTTGTCTTTGTGTTATATCCACCCATAATCCAATTGCAAGTCCCAGAAGACAGAATATTTTAGACATGCACATAAAGATTTTAGTAAAAAAGTTTCCTAATTCTTAAATAATATATGGGAATAAAAGGCAATTTCCGGACTAGAATCCTAAGCTTTGAATAAGCAACAAGGTAAAACCAATTACCTCAATACAGTCAGGCACTATCAAGTCCAAACAATGGGCAGTCCCAATTTTCCAAAACATCATGGGGTTTTTTTGCCATAGCTACTGCCACTTCCTCAAGACTACAGTAAGTCACTGAAGTCAACACTTCACTGTTAGAAGTATGTTTTATAAGGGCCCATTTATACTACAAACCATAGCACTTTCTAACTGAACAGGTACTCTGTTAAATTATTAATACTTACTTCATGAAACCTATGCAAATATTCAGAAAAAGCTTAGAAATGGGTAATAGCTAGAAGCATGTATTTGCTAAGAATATTCACTGAATTTTAAGGAACAAGCAGAATTTAATCGGGACTGGCCTTAGCAAAAAAACTGAACATCATCAACAGTCACACTTTTAGAACAAGTTACAGAATACTACTTTGCTTCAACTACTCTATTCATACTTCCAAAAAAGCACAGTTTTCATGGCAAGTATTCCAAACTACTTTTTCATGCATCATCTCACTAAAAATGTAGGTTTCCAAGTTCTAGAACTGCAGTTAAAGATCACCTGTTACAGGTTGCAATAGGGCAAGAGAGACATTAGTTAAAATATAATCTCATAGACTTACACCTACTGAAATAGAAGGGGTAGAAAACAACTTACATACACTTTTTTCACAAGTTCCTGAAATTAATTCAGATTCCTACCAACATTCTAATTATAGTATTTTATAGCAAACATTATTTTCATCAGCTCCCCGTCTAGCTTCATAGGAGAAATCTAAGAACACAATGTCAATCACAAGTTTCTCTAGTTTTAGTTTGTTCAAATCAAAGAGATTCTCTTTCAAAACCCATTTACACTATGCCATAAACCAGTGAAAGGGTCAAGAGAAGACATCTATAGCGTAAAAAGCTAATTACACTTAGAATAAGTATACAATTTTTCTCAAATTTTAATACCTTCCAATCGTTCAAGTGGCAATACCTCAAGTAAGGTACCTTGACCGCGATTTGAATGCTCAATGACATTCTGATCTTGCTCTCCGTATACTAGGTGGGATTCTTTCAAACTAACAGAAGTTGTCTGAGGTTCTTTAACTTTTGTAGCAACTTCCCTAGAAAGAGAATTATTTCAATGAAAAATCGTTTCACGAGATATATAGATCAACATTAGCAGACAACATCTCTATATAAAGATTTGATAAATTCTCAAATTTTAATGCCGTTGTCTCTAGGAAATCAGCTGTTCCCATTAATATGGATTCTACAGACCTATTACCTGTCATTTTACAATAAAGGAATAAAAATCAATATTACAAAGGCTTCAGTTTCACAATTTAAAGTGTGAAACAAATAGTTAAACTTAACATTAACATATGCCTCTACTTTTTTCTGTTTGTTCCCTTCTCTTTCATTTCTGTAAAAAAAGGGAAAAGTATAAGGGGAAACTTATTTTTATTCCGGGTGAGTTCCATGATCCATTTGGGAGCAAGTAAAACCCTAGACAAGACTTTCCTAAGTCCACAATATCAGCACACCTTTTGTAAGGTTAAATTAGGAACTAAATCATAAGCATGACTTACTGAAATTCCATAGAGTTCTGTTAAACAACAGCTTTTATATTTCTGCAGGAAAGTGATTTTTCACTTTCTGGTTTCATAGGACTTCCATCCAGGCAAATAAGCTAATCACTTAAGATGTTAAAATTTCCACGCTAAGTGTACTGAACCATGTTTTTGCTTTAATATTTGAGCTATATAAATAAAACTAACATTTGAAAGTCTAAAATGCAATTATTCCATGTTTTGTATTTTTTGTACTTGAGTATAATCAAGACACTGACTCCCTCCCTTAAATTTTATATTCTTTGTTTTTATAGGGACATACTGTCTGCAATGCAATTTTGTCAGTGAGAAAGACAAACATTGCAGTTTCTATTGCAACAACAGGAACAAATTTGACCTTGGTTAGAATAACCTATGCAACAGCTTCCAGCACTTCCACCACTTAGTAATGCTCTCTAAATTATTTCACTAACACTAGTTATATCGTAAGAAATAGCAATCACTGAGGCTACAAGGAAGCTAAATTTAATAGAAACTGATGTTGGTTTCTGTATGCAAACTGCATAATGCTTATTTGGAACAGATTTAAATCAGTGCAAACTATTATTCACACACATGACATGAACCAGAAACATCAGCTTAATTCTAGATTAAGTAATGTAAACTAAGTAAATGCAAGCCAAATTCACATAAGTTAATTAATCACATTTTGGAAATTTTTTATTAGCGTGACAACAAAACATCATAGTTTAAAAAAAAAAAATCACTTCTAAAGAGTCATTCCTGTCACGTACATGAAGCTCAATTAGTCAATTAAGCAGCAGAATGCTGTTCATTGCACAGGATGCTTCCACATAGCCTGTCACTACCCCTCTTCAGAGAACACGGAGGAGCTGTTTCAGTAGGAAAAGCTGCCCAGCCTGCAAACATGGAAAACTAGCAGGCTAATGCACAGCTCAGCTCTCCAGTTACTGCCATCAAAAGGCCAGCAGTAGAAGTTGTTGTTGAGGTGGGCAGTTCAATTCTGAAGTATTCCGTGATTAGGTTATAGTACATATAAAGCTACATCCTACATACTGGTATGTGCATTTTAGGACAGAATACGATTTTATCTCTCTCACTTACATGTCATCACGAAAGCTGAGGGCAAATCTCCCCATTGGCTCAGGATCTGACTGACTACTCTGAGAAGATCCTGATGGAGGTGAATGTTTCCCTTCCAAATAGGATGCACAGATATCAGAAAGTCTATAAAGGTGGGGAGGAAAAAACACACAACAGAATCATTCTAATGCACAGCTCTCTTGTTTTTCAAATAGTTGTGGGAAAAAAAAAATCATGTTGATGGCCACTCATCTCCTCCAAGTTCAATTATGTGAATATTTCACCATTTTCTAGCCAATGTGTATTTACAGGTACACATATGCACCCAAAATGATCCTCTCTAGTCTTCTGCAGTTCTTTAGACAAATGCCATATTACCATTTTTAGTGGCTAGTGCTGTCCCATTTGGAATGCACACTTCTGGAAAGACAGGGTATAAAAATCTGATCTTACTTCTTGTTAGGTCATAGGACAGCAGTGAAGTCTTCTAATTGTTACTCTTTGCTCTACTCCTTGCTAACAAGCCATTATAAATTGTGTTAAATTTTAATTTGTATCCATAACACTAGTTCTTATACTACCCTTTCTAAAATGAACCAAGTTAATAGTTAAAGAGAACACACATGTAAAAAACATTATTCTCTGAATGACTTCAAACTTGAGTATACTAAGCTGAAGAGTCAAGTTAAAAGAAACTTGTTATCAGTCTAAAAACTTAACTACTCTTTTAAAGGGCAATTTTAATGAACGTTAATTATTTTGAGTTATTAATTTAATGCAGATTTTTCAGTGCTCATACAATCAATCCTAGGTTTGCTGATTAGTATCCTGCTGATTAGTATCCTACTGATTAGTAAATAGTTTTATCATCATTATTATAATTATTAAATAATCTGTCAAAAGACTTTTTCCTCTCCAAAGTTAAATGTTTCAAACCAGCCCACTGTTTTTTATATTGTCGAGTGGTATTAACTGACAGTCTCACCTGTTGTCACAGCCTATTTCGCTCCTGACAACAGTTGAAGCTGCAACAGGTAAGCCAGGGTTTGAGGAAACAGTAACATTTTCAAAAATGACACTTGCACTGCTATTCAATGAATGGCCCAAGAAGCTTGGAAATGTCTCATCGGCAATATTCCTGAAGCCTTCCATCATCCTGCAAAAGTTGCTTAAAATAGCACTCTGCTTGGCAACACGATCAGCCCTGGTCCAGCAGCATCTGAAAGTAGGAACAAAACAACTATACGGTTACACAAGCCACAGTGGAGCTGTCAAAAATACGTTATTTATACATAAATTATTTATACAAACCAGCCAATATTCTTTGGCAATCCCCCCACTCTATCCACAAACGTGCTTTGAAAATATTTCCAATCCTCTCCCCACAAGCCCTTTGGGGGCCACAGAGCTTTGTAGCCTTCTTGGGCTTTCTAAAAAGAGCAGCACTCCTGAAAGTTAGAGTACCGAGGCTGCAAGACGTGCCAACCTATATTTAGCCTGTAAAGCCACTTGGACCAAGTCAGCCTTCCTCCATTTCCCCAGCAGCGAGCACCTGGGGAGCTACGGACTCCGTGACGCGATCCCCGCGGGCCGCTACTTGGCGGGCTACAGCCTGACGCTACTGATGCCAGCACGGAAGGCCCGGGCCCCACGCCCCTCAGCACTCGCTGCAGGCACCACATAACCATCCCCCCGCCGCGGCCCGAGAGAGGCACGACGGCTCGGCCGG